CATTGGTAGGTTTTTAATTATTGTTTCAGTTTCATTGCCTGGTATTGCATTTTTTAGGTTTTTATATCTGTATTGGTACAACTTTTGTAATTTATATGTATCTAGGACTCTACCCATTGGGGAGTTGGGTCCATTATTTTTGAAAAGTGCTGGCTTACTTCAGTCATTATATTATTTCCATGTTGCTAATTCCTTTATTTTTTTCTCCTGTGCATAATTATTTACTGGTACTATCTGGTGTATTGATTCCATTAGACTTTTTGCCATTCCTGGCTTACATGTCTCTGAGGGGTACCTTTGAAATTCTTTGGAGTGATAGGTTGGTGGTCATGAATTTCTTAAGGTAGTCTTTGTCATGAAAAGACCTTATTTCTTACTTTTGAAAGATACATTGGATACATTAGTCTCAGTTGAAAGCTGTTTTCTTTTAATGCTTGGTACGCTTTATTCCAAACTCTTCTGGCCTTTAAGATTTATGTTGAGAAGTTGGGTGTGATTCTAATGGGTTTATCTTTATTAAATTTTTGTTGCTTTTTTCTTAACAAATTCTGAGATTCTTTGTGTTGAACTTCTGAGATTTTGTCTATGATGTGTCAGGGAGAAGTTCTTTTCTGATTGTGGCAGTTGGGGTTTGTATTGTGTGCCTTGCATATCTGTATGTTAAATTCTATCATTAGAATTTGGAAAGTTTTCTGCTATGATTCCCTGGTTTTTCATGCCTTTTGTGCTCTAAAAATATGTCATATTTCACAGATTTGTATGTAATCTTTACACAGGGGCCATGCCAATCTTGTCATTCCAGTTTTAGTATGTGTACTGCTGAAGTAAGCACTCTAGCATTTTTTGTAGTTCATGTCTACTTGTGACAAATCCTTTACGCTTTTTTCTTGAAGTCTGTAAATTTCTTCTTTATTTGTTGACATTCTTTGTTGACATTTTTTCTTTCAGCATTTGCAATGTGTTATCATTCCAGTTTGTTCTTGCCTATATAGTATCTGATAAGAAACTGGCTGTTAATCTTACTGAGGTCCCCTAATACATGAAATTCACTTCTTTTTCTGCTTTCAAGATTTTGTTTTCGGAAAATCTGAATACATTTCAGTATAAATTCTTTCAAATTTATCTTATGTAGAGTGTGCTGAGTTTCTTGCATGAAAGTTCATATGTTAATCAACTTTAGAAAGTTTTCAATCATTAATTCTTTAAATATACTTTCTGTTCTGTTCTTTTCCTTTCCTTTCCTTGACTTTGGTCCTACTGCTATACATCTGCTGAAATGCATGATGTTATTCCCACCAATCTCTTAAGCCTTGTTCATTTTTCTTCATTTTTTTTTCTTTTTCTACTTCTTAGACTGCATCGTTTTATAAAATACACTCCAAAATGTGATTGCCACAAATTATTTATTTGTGAAAATTCTGACAACTCTGTTATTTGATTCCCTGCCTAGAATTAGCATTAATCCTTTCTCTTGCATTTTAGACCAAAGGAAGTCATGGGGCCATCCCTAATTTTAAGTAGCTAAGAAACCAGTTTTGCTTTGCTTTGCTTTGCTTTGCTTTGCTTTGCTAAGTGTGAAAAACTATTAACTATTTCCTAATTAACCTACAATCTCTACTCATTTCTCTGTTCTTATCCCCATCTGTTCTTTAGCATTCATCTCATTGCAGTATTTTGTAGTATAAAGGTTATCATGTTTGTCTTAAGGATAACTTTCACTTGCTTCCAATTTGACATTGAAGCCACAAGCTCATATGTTCATGCTTTCATTTATCAGCTTTGTGATCAAAACCAGAGTTTAGTGTTTCTAAGATTACATTTTTTCTCTGAGAAAAATTAGAAAAATAAGTCTTGTTCCAAAAATTACAGATGATTGGTTGAGGTAATGTGTGCTGAACACTTTGTAGACTTTCATAGTAAATACTCAGAACTGATTGACACTCCCAAAACTTTTTAGAATGTCAAGTGCTTTTCATAACATAGCTTGTCTTCCAGACTCATTCTCTAATCTTCAAATTATATTGAACCAAAAGTAATATTTTTATTAGTTATTTCTTCGTTAATGTAATTTTTTAAAGTTTGTTGTATTTTTATCATGTTTGGAAGATGAGATGGAAACTTATCTCTAATTTTATAGTGGAAGTCAATGAGAAATCATGTCTTATTTAAATTTGCTTTTAAAAATGTACCATATTACTTTAAATTACTTACAGAAAGAAAAATAGCAGTTTCTTGTCTTTTAAGTAGTGAGGTTTCCGTTTATTATCTTAAAAATCATCAAAAAAATGAAATATTTCCATCTTTAATGAAAGTTAAAAGTATTTCTAAGTTAAAAAGCTAAAAATTGGAAAGTAAAGAGTGAATGACTTAGGAAGACTTTTTGAACCTGAGTGCCTAAGTACATCTAGGATACTGATAAAAATAACCTCATTGTACCTGCAAATCCAAAAAGGCTGAGGAATTAGATTCAGTAGTACTGCAGGATTTGTTAGTGAGACAGGAATTATAGAGAGATTGATTGAAAAATCTAAATAAGAAACAAGGGTCCCTTTATTTCACTTCACTGAGAGAGGAAGTATACTGTCTTATTGAATTAGAGTGTTTCCAGACACATGGCAGGGCAGGAATGAGATGTCCAACTAAAGATGGGGACTAAGTAAAACTCATCATACTGAACAGTAGCTCACCACGTCTCCCTCCTATGGTTGAATTCAGACTCATATATCTCATACTTAGATATCATAGGTAGTTTCAAGGGACCCTTCCTGGTGAAATTGAACCATTCCAAAAAAAGCTACTCAACAGGTACCAGTATTGAAAGACTTGAAGCAAAAAGCCAGCTGGTCATTACCCTGAAGTCTACCAATTGGTAAGACTAATCTGCACAAAGAGAACAAGATTTTGTCCAAAAATAAAATTAAGAACTGGGGACGAATTAACGCAGTGCCAAGGCTGTGGGTTTCATCCCGTGTTTGTAGGGTAGAGTGCAATGGAAAGGGGAGGTGAAAAGAGAAGAGATTCTTTCAAAGCGCTGGAAAGAATTGAAGAACTGTCTTTGGACACCGAACAAAAGACAAAAATAAAAGAGAAAATTAGAGGTTAATGTTAGGTTTAGTGTTTCACCTAATAAAGTTTTAGAAAGAGCTAATAGAAAATACATAACCTTATCAGAATACTAAGGAAACAAACATGTAAATTTCTCAGAGCTAAAGATACTACTACATTGAACAAGTCAAATGCTTAGTGCATTTGATACACATTCACATACTTGTATAAAGTACATCATTCTGAGGCTGTAGAATGTAATTCAGCAGTAGAGTGTATCTAGCATGCATGACCTCCCACACACAAAAAAAACAGCCTACATCATTCTGAAAATTCAGAAACTAGGGAAGACAAAAAGATCAAAATAAGAATGTCATTGCATGCTAGTGCTATATAGCTCTATGGCAGAGTTCTTAGCATGTGCAAGGTGACAAGGTTCAATCTTTAACACTGAAAAAAAAAAGGCAGTGACCCCCCACAGCCTCACATGAGAATATAAAAGACATTGTGGAAAATGGGGCAAAACATTTCAAATGTTGAGGATAGTATACTGGTTTGAGCTTCTCACACACTGTGTCAAATATATGCTAGAGAATGGTACAATAACAAATCCACGGGCATGGATTCAAAAGTAATCATCACCTTTTCCTCCGTACATATTTTTACAGTTTTAAAGCAAATTCCAGACACAGTACTATACCATTTAAACACTTAATGCTTCTGTTTTATCTGTGATAGACATTTTAATGAAACAAGCACTCTGAAATTACAGTCAGCAAAATGTACAATTTATTAATATCATCAGATACTTAGTTTTTATTTTCTCCATTTAACTCAAAGATATCCTCAAGAGTTGGCTTGTTCTAATTATAATCTCTTGCACTTTGTAGCTGTGTCTTTTTTCACCAAGGAAAACAACTTGTGTTTTTTCTTTTCATAGGCCTCTCTGTACTCTTTGAACTTTTCTCTGTATGTATTACTTTGAAAACTACAAATTAACATTAAAACAGTTACACTTGGAGAACATCTTGGAAATTCACCACAGAGTCCATGGTTAGCAGTTTAGAAGTGACTCTTATAAATTAATTACTCATGTTTTTCTTAGAGATGGTTATACTACTACCTGAACCTGTGTAAATATGAACTAGTTTAGCAATGTAGACATAAACTCAAATATTCTACATCTTTGCAGTAGCATGATGGGCTGGCAGTAAGCACTCCCCAAATTACATATGAATAATAGTCCGGAACTAAAAAGTGATCAACAAACAGTGTAATTCTGAGCATCAGTGAAATTGTCACAAAACCAGTAGACAGCCTTGAGGAAGAATAGAAGTCTAGTAGTGCACTCCTATGCCCTCTGGAAATAAAAAATCCAAAGGACCTCTAGTTCTTTGGAGAGTTGTGTGTGGCAATTCAGTTATTTGGCATTGACCTGAGCACTGTAGTGTCCTAAACACTGTAGTGCACCATTTAATATCATGGATTTAAAAAATTCAGCCATTTTGTTATTTATTACCAGGTAATTTGAGAAATAATCTAATTACATTTCTGATATATATACTAGTGTAGGAATCAGTGATAAGATATGGAATAAAAAGAAATAACTGTTTGAACCACCTGGAACATAACTGTATAGAATGATACATTTCTTCTGTCATTTACTAACCCAGAAAAGACCCTCATTTTAAACAAAATGTTCTCTTGAGAGTTCACTTCTGTATTAAACATTTTGTTTTGTTTTTTTAGTCTGCCCCCCCCAACAAGTTACATTGGTCAGTCTTATTTATGCTTGATAATAGGATCTGTCTGCTATAATGGAATTTAAATGTTTTTCATTTGAGAGTCTAAATGATAAACATCTGATTTTTAAGTTTGGTTATATTTACTTTTAGGTTAGCCATAGAGTGGGTGCAAATTCAATATCTTTCTCTTTAACCCTATGTTTCTTTTAGAGGAAGTCCACAAATGAAGGGGACACCCCATTTTAAGGAAGACCAGTGTGCTCCAGCATTAAATTTAGAGATGAGGAAAATATTGGATTTGCAGGCACCCATCATGAGGTACAGTGCTTTGGTTAAATGTGGCATTTTGTGATGACTAATCACATGACCAATAGAAAAACTGCGTTCACTTCTTGGGACTTGAAGACAGCCATTTAGCTTAGAAATATGTAAATTAATCCTTATAAGACATTTGAAATTTTATATGTGGCTTATTGTTATAATAAGGCTCATAAGTTTTGACACTGTAATTTTATTTTGAAATTATGTTTTTTGATGAGGTCTAGAAATGTTTGAGTGATATAACATACTCCATAGTCCTTAAAAAGATCCTGGCAAAAGTCATACAAGTTGAGGAAAGATTAAAGTGCTTTTGTTTCCAAAGCCTTTGTAAGTTTCTGGGAAGTATATGTACATTTGGATGAGGCTGGGATTTAGCTCAGCAGCATAAGCATCTGTCTTGCAAGTGCACAGTCATGAGTTCAATCCCCAGTACCGATCAAAAAAAAAAGACATTTGGAATAAAATTAGGCTTTTGGATCTGAGTATGAATAAAAGTTTTAGGACAAGTTAGACAAAAATACCAAAATGCTAAAATTGTATATTGATTGATATAAAAAACTTGTAATTTGGCTTTATCTCTTCAGTTACCTCATGGTTGACATTTTAGTTGTCGTTACTTTCGCTGCATATTATTTTCATTGTGTAGATGTAAGAAAATGTACTTAAATAATACGCAGTTGTGAAAACAGTGAGAATGTCCTTTACTGAAAGACTTTCCAAATACATTATTAAGTGAAAGAAAAAAGGTTTTTATAGTATTGCTGCTTAAGGTACTGTTTCTAAAAAGGAGATGGTAGTATTAGAATATTCACAATTCTAGAAGAATATATATGAAACTGAGGAAGAGAGCTGATGGTTGGGCAAGTTTTAAAGAAAGACTTTTACTCTGTACTTAAAAATAAAGATCTGTATGAATATAATATGAATGTACTAAAATACATAAATATAATACCCATTTTTAAAGACTCCTAATTCAAAGTTTTAATAAAAGGTTTCTTTCATCATTTTGCTTGCTAGAATACTATACAGAATGACAGTGAAACAAATTCCTGCAATTGATGAGCTATTACCTTTGCCTTGGTTAGTTCTTTTTATATGCTGTTCTCATAGACAAGAATGCCATTTTTGTTATTTCCTTAAATGTAATCAGTATTACAAAACACTGAGTTCAGGATACTCATCATCTTGGTCAGAAAGTTAATGATTACTTTAGATTTTTATTTCCACATAGAAATCCTTTTCAAGAATGTAATGATGGAAGTGTCTGTGAGTAACAAGGAACGTGAATATGTACAGACTTTACTTTCTATTCTACCTTGTGGCTAAAAACTATATCGTGCATGGAAATAGAATAGAAAGCCTTTTAAAAAAGAATTTCTAGATTTGGACTGTAGCTTGGTTGCTAGATCACATCCTTAGCATGAGCACTGACAAGGGTTCAATTCTACCAAAGTGTGTGTGTGTGTGAGGGGGGGATTTCTGCTACCTTTTGCAAGGTTAACATATTAGTTGCTAAGTTCTGCAAATTTAGGTTATTAGAAATATCTAATGTTTATTTCAAAATTATAAAATAACTGCATTTCAGAGCAATGTCATTAGCATCCCTACTGAAATTGGAGAGATTTCCTATACAGTTTTAAATTGACTAAAAAGACATGAAGGTTTTTATAAGCACTTCCATCCTATTAAAAATTTAAAACAGATAGGAATAATAATTATGTTGCTTACAGGAGTAAAAATACTATTTATATATTTATTCATTCATGCTCATTTTTGAGCATTATTTATTGTTGTCAAGATTATCAATTGTACCATCACTACATGTGGCTACTGTTACCAGGTATTATAGGTACAGAACACTTCCATCATTACTGAAAATTCTTGTTGGGATAATGTTGGGGGATTGTTACCTCTATATTCCCTAGCTCTAGATTATCATCCTAGAGTTAGTTTATTGTTGTTGTTATGAGTGGTTTATTGCCCTCTTTTCATGTCTTGTGTCACTTGTGCTTCTATTTTCCAATTTGCTGTTTTAGTATTTCATGTTTTTAACCCAGTTCATCAAGTTTGTATCTGTGGCAGCCAGAGTCTTTATTTATCCCAGAATTTCTGATTTTAGATTGAATTATATCTAAACTGCTAATTTGCAGACAAATGGAGATTTTGTGATCTTTTATGTATGAGTATTTTCTAAAGTAATACTCATTGCTTTCCCAGTATGGTCTTTTAAAAGTTAATTGAATTGAGTTGCTTATTTTCCTACAGTTTGCAGTCTGTGCTGGAAGATCTTCTGGTTGCTACTTCTGATGGACTACTTCATCTTATTCACTGGGAAGGAATGACAAATGGAAGGAAAGCCATTAATCTTTGCACAGTACCCTTTTCAGTAGATCTTCAGTCATCTAGAGGTAGTTATACCTGCTACGTAAGGTAGAACCAGCTGTTTAATATCTGATACAATTTTGTTAGAGGTTTTCTATGGATTGATTTTAATTGAATTGTTTAGGGTGTTAGGTCATCAATTTTGCCCTTGTAACTATTTTTGCAGGCTTTGCAAACAAAAATATGAGAGGCTTATATAATAATATTGTTTTAAATACTTATTTTTTCATCAGTAGGTTCATTCCTGGGCTTTACAGATGTGCATATCAAAGACATGGAATACTGTGCCACACTTGATGGATTTGCTGTTGTGTTTAATGATGGTAAAGTTGGATTTATTACACCAGTGTCAAGTAGATTTACTGCAGAGGTATGGCTTAACAAACTTGTTTTAAAAATGTGTATTTTTATGTAACAAAATTCACTCATTTCAAGTATATATTTCAATAATTTTAATAACTTTCACTAGTGATATAGCCACTAAGTTAATTTTAGGATATTTTATTTCTCACTCCATCATACAAAAAATAACTCATAGTCTTTATTTATTTTTGTATTACAAATTTTTTTTATTAATACATGTTGCAGTAGTATTGATTACATCTGTTGTGGGAAGTTTATATATGTACATAATGCATCTTATTGCCCTCTTACTTTTTGCATCCCTCAAATAAAGTTTGACTGTTTGTTTTATTTATTTACATTTATTAATTTTACACTCTATTATTAAATGCTTTTCCATTTTCTTTATTCATATAAGATTTAATCAAATTATACATATACACGGAATATAAGGGCAAAATTCAATCAGACATGTTGAAGAAAAATGATAGTTTTGGATGTGATGGGGATTTAGCTCAGTGGCATAATTGTTTGCCTGACAAGCGCAAGATTGTGAGTTCAGTCCCCAGTATTAAAAAAATAAAAATGCCAGGCATGGTGGCACATGCCTGTAGGCCCACCACTCAGGAGGCTGAGGCAGGAGGATTACTCTGAGTTCAAGATCAGCCTGGGTTACAGTGTAAGCTTAAGGCAACATGAACTGCATAGGGAGACGCTGTATCAAAAAAAAAAAAAAAAAAAAAAAAAGAAAAAGAAAAATGATAGTTTCTGCCCTGTTCTTATACTCAACTTCTGTTCTTGGAAACAATTACTTCATAATTCCTTTCCTAGTTGTTTTCAATATTTATCTTCAACTATTCTGTTTTCTTTAAGTTGTAGTTTTTCATCAACAGAGCATATATACTATGGTGGTCCTATAAGATTATATTGCTTAGTGGTGTCATACCCTTCTTATATTTCTCTGATATTTGCACAACAAAATCACCTAACAAAAGATTTGTCATATGTCCTATCATTGAGTGATTCATCTGTGTTTAGACAGATTATATAACTCATTTTGGAATTAAATACAACCTTTAAAATAGTATAGTTTTAACAGTTGCAAATATAGTGCATCAATAATGTCTCCTGTTGGAATCATTCAAAAATAAAGTGCTTTATTAATAGCATGCTACTTTTGTATGCTTACTAAAGGTCATGACCTTTGCCTTATAGTTTACAAGCTTTTGTTTTGGCAAATAAGGACAGATTGTGAACTAAATCTGTTCAGATTTTTTTTTTTTTTTTGTCTTTTTCATTTTTATCGGTACCGGGGATCGAACTCACGACCACCTGCTTGCAAGGCAGGTGCTTATGCCGCTGAGCTAAATCCCCAGCCCCATCTGTTCAGATTTAGCTGAACTGAATCTGTTCTGTATCTGTATATGAAACTGACTAGCATATAAGATTAATGATGTCATTTAGTGAATGCTTAATTGTTGAATAGTAACCATTGTACGTACTAGATAGTGTAAATCTTTGAGTCACCATGAAAGGAAATTTACAGACAAGAAAATTAAAGTTTGGAAATGTCAGGTAATCATTTGAGTTAGGCTTGAGCTGTTATGCTGTTAATCATACTGCATAGTAAGGGAATAACAAAGATTAGTAAGCAATAGACAAGTCACAAATTGCTTCTAGAAAACAGAACAAAGAAAATTCAGTATTTTTCACTGACCATTAAACACTATATGCTATGTAGGTGATGAGAATATTAATGAGCAAATGAGTTTCAATTTCTAGTAGCAAAAGGTTTACAACAAAAGTCATCTTCATTTACTGTGTGTTTATAGGGATTGAATATCCTTTTTTTTTTTTTTTTTTTTTTTTTTTTTTTTTTTTTAGTGTTTAAATAGATTAACATTGACTGAGCTCATTTGGGTTGTTTATTAAACCATTAATGAAAGGCTTGAAATTTTAAGGGAGGGAGACTATTCAGATGGTAATCCTGATGAGGTATATCCTATGCAGATGACCAGATGAAGCCTTGTGAAACTACATTTTATTGTAAGAGAATTATGTTGTTTAGATTTGGAGGGGCCTGGGGATGTAGCTCAGTGGTAGTAGTGCTTGCCTAGCATGCCTGAAGCCCTGAGTGCAATCCCTAGTAGCACCAAAAAGTTAAAAAAAAGAGTAAACTTAGAGGAACATTTTCAGATCTTATCTCTGTTTATTTATTATAGCAGCTTCATGGAGTTTGGCCACAAGATGTTGTTGATGGAACATGTGTAGCAGTAAATAACAGATACCGGCTAATGGCATTTGGATGTACAAGGTAACTGATAAGAGTCTTCTGAATTTATAAGAATTATTGGCAAAAATAAATGGGGCGAGCAGGGATTTAGCTCAGTGGCACAGGCATCTGCTTGGCAAATGTGAGATTGTGAATTCAATCCCTAGTACCAAAAAAAAGATTTTTTTTTATTTTACTTTTTTATTTTTTATCTTGAGACAAGGTCTCATAAAGTTGCTATTTTTGCCTAACCTGGGCTCAGATTTACAATGCTTAACCCTCTATAGAGTGCTGGGATTATAGATATGTCACCACATCCAGCCAGAAATAATTTTTTAAATTTAAGATATTTTGACATGCTTATAAAACTTTTATCATGCCATCATAATTTAGGAATTATCCTTTATATAAAATCTAAAGGTATTTTTATTGAGATTTTTTTCTTTTAAAGTCCTCTGTAAGACATCAGTGTTAGTAATAACTTTAAATTAGTGAGTGTATCTTAATGAAGCTCTTATATAAAATAAGCTCCTTGCTTTAATTCATATAATGTATATTTTAAAAATAATTCATTCTACTAATATCTGTATACTTACCATTTACCAGGTATAGTTCTAAACACTGGTACATTTAAAAAAATATCTACTTTTGTTGAGCTTATAGTTTAACTCAATAAAAAGATTATGAATCATAATGTTGCCTTGCAATGTGTGTATTGCTTTTGATTTTTAAAGTTTTCTTAAATATAAAATATTCCACTTTGCTCTCAAAATGAGACCTGGTTCAGTAGAACATCATTTCTAGTTTGGTTCCAGCTTCATGATCTCCATCCAAGTTAAATGTCAAAGTTTTTTTATTTGTATAAGTAATATAACCTACTAAAAATTAGCACCTTAATTCTGCTGCCAGTAATTTTTTTCCAAATAATGTCTTTGTAAAATAGGAAATCTTTATCTTTGATTTCAACTTGTTCTTAGCACATACTGTCTAATTAAGGAGTTAAGTATAGAAATACAAATTAAGTTCAACAAAAAAAAGAAAAGCATCTTTGATATATTTATTGGATTTTATTTGGTCATATCTTATGTAGATTTCTAAATCTATGTTCACAAATACATCTTACCTATAATTTTTCTTCATCTGCGGTTAAGGTTATATTTGTCTCACAACAGTTGCGAATTCTTTCACATCGCTGTTAATTTTTTAATGTGCAAGAATTTGTGGTAAACCCATCTAGATATGGAGTTTTCTAGAATATTTTGGAGTACTGATTCAATTTGACTGATATGATTGACTAAGACAATTTAGATTTCTATATAAGCTATTTTGGCAAGTTGTATTTTCCTAGGAATTGGTTTCTTTCATATATAGTTTCAAATTGATTGGCATAAAGTTTATTATCTTCTTTGATTTTCATATTATAAAATAAAAGCATACATACAGCAGTAATGCACAATTCAAATACTAAGTTTCACAGATAATTGTAAGGTGAACACCCCAACCTTTCATAAAGTCTACCCTCACTACTTCCAATTGCAAGTCCTGTGTCCCTTAGTAACAGCTTTCTATCTTTTGTGATAGTCATTTATTTTTTTGTTTTGTTTTGTTTTGTTTTGTTTTGTTTTGTTTTGTTTTGTTTTGTTTTGTTTTGTGATGGGGTTTCACTATGCAGTTCAGGCTGGCCTTGAACTCACTTTATATCCCAGGCTGGTCTCAAACTCCAGTGATCCTCTTGCTTCAGCCTCCTGAGTGCTGGGATTACAGGTAAACATCACCACGCCCGGCCTTTTTGTTATACTTTAACTACCTATGTACACATTCCTGCTGCATGTAACTTCTTTTCCCATTTTTGAACTTTATACGAGTAAAATCATTTTATCTTTTGCTTCTGGTTTGTGTCAATATTGTGAATTCATCAATGTTGTCTGTGAGTAGTTACTATCATTTTTTACATTGACGTACAAATAATGTCCCAGGATATGAATATACCATAATTGGTCCACTTTGCTGTACATGGACATTTCTGTTACCTCCTGGTTTCCCAAGAAAAGAGACCTTTTTTTTTTTACATAAACTCAGTATTTTTATTACACATGACATAATCGGTGATAAATACCTAATAGGATCTATTGGCCAATTCATACTATAACCCAGTTATAACCAAAATTTCTTTTATAGTTCTTTTGTTCTAACAAGTGAAAGAAAATTCATGAATTATGTTTGGTTTTTGTTTACTTATCTTTCACCTATAACAATCCTTACATCTTTTTTCTTACTTTCATGATATTTTAGTCTCCCACCCCCAGTACTAATTGAACTCAGGGCCTTTGCAGTGAACTATATCCCCAGTCCTTTTTTAATTTTTTATTTTGAGGCAAGATCTCCACCAGGTTTTGTGAGCCTCTTGCTCAGGCTCAGGATGGGTGACTACTGTAAGACCATCTCAAAAAATAAAATGGCTGGAGAGGTAGTTCAGTGCAAAAGTCCTAGGCTTAATCCCCAGTTTAACACCCTCCCCCACTTGGTGTTTTTAGTTTCTGGTCTTTTGTAAAAAAAAATTTTAGTGAAGCATATATATATACAGAGAAAGCATACAGTATGCTATATGTAAAAAATACTATGGTAATTATATAGATTACCATCCAACATAAGAAATAGCACATTGCTGGGCTAGGAGTGTGGCTCAGTAGTAGAGCTCTTGCTTTGCATGCGCAAGGTCCTGGGTTCAATCCTCAGCACCACAGAAAGAAAAGAGGGTGGAAGACTGGGAGGGAGAAAGGGAAGAAGGAAAAAAAGAAAGAAGGAAGGAGCAAGTGAGCACATGACAGTTCTGTCAAAGCCTTTTCTCTGCCCCTTCCCCATTCTCTACTTGAGCAATTACTCATCTATGAAAAGCGTATTGCTTTTTTTTTTAACCACAAATGTATTCAACAACTATGTTTTGACTGAAAAAAATAAATGCTATCTATGCTAATAATGCATGTGGCTAATCTCATTTCCCTTTAAGTGCTATATGGTATTAGTACTATATGAATTTACCAGTATTTTTTCTTCCTTACATTGCTGTATGTTCAGGTTCTTTTTCTTTTTTTTTTTTTTAACCCTGCAATTATATACAGTAGCTCAATGAACATTTTGTGTCTCCTAATAAACATTAGATAAGAATTTCTGGGATGTACTGTATCTAGAAATAAAGTTGATGGATTACAGAATACACACTTGTCCAAATTCAGATCACTTTACACAGAGAAATTATTTACACATTGGTTTTGTCCTACTTTACACTCATACCAGCAGAATGTCAGAGTTTCCATAATAATTTTTTTTCTGTCTTTTTTCACTAAAAGGGTTTTTTTTTGGGATTATTTTCACAGTGGTTGCGTGCAGGTTTATACAATAGATAATACCACTGGAGCCATGCTACTATCTCATAAATTAGAGCTAACAGCAAAACAGTATCCTGGTAAGTATTCTTTTTGTTTTTTTAGAGTCTCTTCCATCCCATGGATGCCTGAAATTGGATAATACTTAACCCTATATATTATGTATATGCATAATAAGAAATAACCTGATTTGATAATTATACATCATATACCTGTATTGAATTATCACACTGTACTCTATAAAAACAATGAAAATAATTTAAACAGTTAAAACTAGTAAAATAGAATAATTATAACATATTATAATGAAAGTTTTGTGAATGTGGCCTTTTTTTTCTTTCCCTCTCTTTCAAATTTTTGTTTTTGAGAGCATGTAAGTTCTTTGTACACTATACCTGGATTTTGTCATATGCTGTACGATGTTGCCCCTGAATGCCAGAGTTAGTTTGCATGATCTCTGCTCAATACTTCATTTGCATTTTTATGAATATAGGTTCTGTTGGGCTTCTTATTTCAGAAACTTTGCTTCTTTCCTTGCTGTGAATGGTATCCTTTCTACTTTATCAACTTACTCAACTCTCCAGAATGTGAGAGCAACTTCTTCATTGGTAGATGCAGTGTCTCCAGTAATTTTTATATTTTTCAGTCCAGACCTATTCACAGTTTGTTTAAATCCTTCCTTAGAATAATTGACTAATTATAATTTGTTTCAGGGAATTCTTGCTATTCTTTAGATAAGGTCAATGCTTTCTGGTGCAATACTTTGCTGTCACCCAATGTTTTCTGTTCATGTTTTCCATGCACAAATTTTTTAATGCTTTTCAGTTTTAATAGTGTATTTATCACATGTGGTGGCCCTAACTTTTGCAGTTTAAAGTGCAACAGCTTAATTGGCACACACTTTTTTTTTCACCACAGTTTCACAGATAGAAATTTCATTTTTATCGTAGAACTTTGGAACTTCAGCAGTTATTTTTTATTTCCTTCATAACTTTTACCTTTTAATTTAAGGGACATGTTCTCTGGCTAATCTTTGGTATATTGCCAAATTGCCAGCATCACTACTCTTATACACTTCGGGTCCACTATTAAGTAATGTAAGAGTTACTTGAGCACAAGCATTGAGAGATTACAGCAGTTGACCTGATAACTGACATGGCTACGAAGTGACTTCCGGACAGATAGTGTAGTCAGCGTATATGCAGTAGATAAAAGAATGATTCACTTTCTGAGCAGGACAGAGCACAATTTCTCCTTGCTACTCATAATGGTGTTCAGTTTAAAATTTATGAATTGTTTGTTTCTTGAATTTTTCCATTTAATATTTTCAAACCACAGTTGACTTCAAATAACTGAAAATACAGAAAGTAAAACCAGCAAAATTGGGAACTATTGCACTAGTCATGTAATGTGTAACAAATGGTGAGTTTAAAGTAAATGATACATGCTATAAATAAATATTGTTAGAACATACACAACTATATGATAAAAGATTTCTACATAACTAAAGAATCTGGGATTTTAAAAATCCACCCATTTAGAGTTTGTTTATCCTTAATTTTAAGCTCTACATATCTTGTCTGGATTTTGCTGTAATCACTTAACTGATTTCATTTGCTGTTATTTTACGCCTTTCAATTCAGTGTATTTAACAAATACTTACTGAGTATCTACCGTGTACTAGACTGTTCTAAATGCTGGGTTCCCAAGAACAAACAAAAAAGTTTTGAGTCCTTTAGTAAACCTCTGCTGTTCACAGGATTAAGTCTAAATTCTTTGTAATTGGAAATGCTTTTTACTGAACTAACAGTAAACCCAACTTATAATGACTTAAACAAGTAAGATTTATTTTTTCAAATAGCAAGAAATCTAAAAACAGGCTGCTACTGATTTCATTTGACCTGTTCTTCGTGATCACAGGGTAACTCCTGAGCTCCAAGAATTACTTCAGCGTTTCAGTCAAAAAGAAAGGATAAAGCAAGGCACATTTTTTTTTAAAAAAAATCAGGAAAGCAGAAACATTTCCAGGTGTATTCCCACATCCTATCAGCTCTAGCTATCTTCTACTTCCATTTATTTAGAAATAACTATATCAGATGGCTACTTTGGGCTTCAAGCAAAAGTTGGAAACAATAGCTTTTTCTGGTTCTTTGTAGTAGAAAAGAACAAGATACAAAGAAAAAAATAGACATGCACTAACCAACCAACAATGTATTCCACATATATGGCAAATAAAGCCTTTTGCCAAATCCTCCTGTGGTGGTTTCTTGGCTTATTCTGTGTTGTTTCTGTAATTTTATATAGTTATTCCTAAACTAAAAGAAACACCACATGTTCTGTTTATTAAATAATTAGATTTGCTTAACCACTTAACCCATGCTTAAACGTAGTTTTTTTCTCCTAATAGAATATGTATGCCTAGTGGACAATTAAGTCAGATTAGGTATGACCACACACATTTTTGGTTTCAAGTTGAGTTTTCACAGAACAGCAGCTTCTGAAGACTCATCTTCACAAAGTCATAACATCACAATGAATGTCAATTGTAAACTGCTTGCAGCTAGGTATTTACATTGTGTCCAGTATAATTATCTCATGACGCTGTAAGTTTTCTACATTGTTTTGTTATATCTTGACACACAGGTCAAGAACTGTAGTCTTAAATTTTACTTAGCTTGACCAAATTATAATACGTGCAAATCCTTGAATATCTCCATATTGTCTGATTCCTTTATTTCTCACACTGTTCTATCCTCCCGAAATGTCTCATATTTCTACATGGAGAATATACTGTATATTTATATTTCAACATATAACTTAAGCTGTTTTTATGAGTTAGTTAAAATACCATTGGCTCTGATACTCCACTGTACTGTGTATAGATTATCTTTCTTAGTATGTATAATTCTTCATTGAATTTACTAGTTGAAGAACCTCCTGAACTATGATAATTCTTGAGTAGAGTGGTTCATATCTCATTACATTAAGCTAATTAATCTTAGTGAAAGGCATCTAATAGGTAGATGATAAAATGAATCCATTTAAGTTGAGATCAGTGACTTTCCAGAGTTGTAACAGTAGTGTAATTTCATTATTATGTGTTTTATGAATCTGATAATGTACTCTTGCCTTTATTTGCATTAGTGATTGGGAACCTTTTACCAAACTTTGTTTTATCCTCCTCACAGATTTAAATGTGTTCTCGGTATTACAAAAGATAGTTCGGAGACTACACATTTCCCTAACATTAAGGGGAAAAAAGTCAAAAGAAGTTGAGGTGCCCCTGTAAGTCTAATCAAATTTAATAATAAAATTCAGTTTCAGGAGGAAGCTGAGGTGTCTCATGTTAAGAGTTTAGTTAAAAATTAGAATATTTAACTGTTGATTTTGTTTGGCTTAATGCTACTCACATATAAAGTGTACCAATAATTTTGCCCCCCATCTCTTAATGATTTATACCTTCTCCTTGAGACCATTTTCTTCCTGAAGTATATCCTTTGGCATTTCTTTCAGTGAAGTTTTTATGATAGTAACCTATTTTTATTTTTAGCCTTTAATAGTTTGTTTTGCTTCTATGATTTAATAGTTTAACTTGGCATACAATTTTGAGCAGGTTTTTTCCTGTACATTAAAAAATATATAGTGAAGAAATATATATGTATTAATGTTAATGCTGAAGAAATTTCATGTATATATGAAATTTCAGTGTCATTGATTTCCATTGCTGATGTTTCCAGTGACGTTATATCCCCTTTTAAAGGTTAGTCTTTTTTCTCTTTCTAGCTACTTTTAAGATCTTTTCTTTGTCGTTTGTATTCTGCAATTTCGCTGTCATGTAGATGGTGAAGGATTTTGTTTTTTAATATTGCTTTAAACTTAGACTTGTTGAATCTGATATTTTCCTCTTACTGTGAAAGAATTCCTATTCATTGTCTCTGGTTACTGCCTTTCCTTTAATCTCTTCTTCTGGAAAGCTAATTAAATACACATATACATTGTACTTTTTTTTTTTTTTTTTTTTGAGACATTGTTTCACTGTATAGTCAGTTTGGCCTTGAATTTACTATGTAGTGCAGGCTGACCTTGAACTTGGAGCCTTCACTCTCCCTCAGCCTCCCAAGTGCTGGAATTACAGGTATGTGTCACCATGCCTGACTTTATTTGTTTTTTAGCCTAGATTTTAAAGTTTTTGCTTTTTTAGACTGCATTCTAGAAAATTTCCTATATTTATGCTTGGGTTCACTAATTCTTTCTTCAGTTATGTCTAAGATGTTAATGGCCCATTGAATTTTTAAGTCAGTTATATTTTATTTCTAAAAAGTTTAATTTTTTTAGTGTGTGTATCTTGCTTCTAATTTCAAGCTTCTCTTTTGCCAGAAAAGCATTGTTATTTTATATTCTGTGTCCATTAGTTCCAGTAGCTGAAGACTTTCTATTTCTGCTTTGAGTTATTTTTTTGGGTTTTCACTTGTTTGTATATTTTAAGATTTTTGACTGAGAGCTAGTTATTTCTTTTGAAAACTATTTGTGTGAATGCTTAAAGATCTATATTGCGTTTGAATTGGAAAGAAATTGTTTGTGCTTCTGCTCATTTGGGTTTTTTACAACAAAATGACTCTTTACATTGTGTTCTCTGTTTGAGACTTTTTAAAGTCCACATTAATTGTATAAATTATACTTCAGAATGACAGCTGATTTGTGATTGAAGATTATCATGGGAGCTTTAGTTTCTATTCAGTACCATACATAAAACATGGAAATCTTCCTTACTGTTTCTTTTATTTCTATATGGCCAAGGCTTGTTGTTGTTTTCCTCCTCTTCCTTTATACCACGAATATATAACCTTGACTTGGGCAAATCTGAGCTGTATCTGTCTTGCTAACATACTGTGAGTCATGAGAGGTACTAGTCAAGGTTCCCAGGGTTTGGCACATTCAGGAAAAAATGTCCTAGTTTTTTTGGTTGTTTTGAGCTATTTAAATATTCTATTCAACATCCATATTGTTTCAATATGGTTAGTCATTTAGGTTATCATTTGTTGTACTGCCATAAATAGAAATTTTCTCTTTACTTTATCATTCTAATCATACAGACTTTGTGAAGCCCTGAATATATTTTTTCTCTAGACACAGTGTTTGCTGCAACTTTATTTCCATTTTACAGAGGCTGATTTGTACAAAAGCAGATTTTGAAGAATACACAGTGGTAGCTAATAGTGAGCAGAACACCTTTCTTCTCTTGTAAATTACTTGTATGCTGAAATTGTTTTGATTAAATCAGGCAAGACCAGTGACATTTTAAAAAAAATATTACTGCACCAACAGGATTCATCTTATTTGATCTAGTCATGCCTTTCTGCTCATTTAGATTTGAAGAAATAGGCTTATAAAAAGTACAATTTCTGAAGTAATCATTTATTTTGAACTCTTTTCGCTTTTACAGACATTTGGAACAAAACAGGAGCTGTTAAATTGATCAGATGGTCTCCTGACAATACTGTTGTAATAGTGACATGGGATTATGGAGGCTTTTCTTTATGGAGTGTGTTTGGAGCCCAGCTGATTTGTACACTTGGAGGAGATTTTGCGTAAGTCAATAAAAACAAATTTTAGATAAAATAGCACTGTTACTTCCCTGACCCCTCCAAACATATATACACATACACATATGTGTATACACATACATGTACATATATAAGTACATGCATATAGGAGCCTTGGGTCGTAGAGTTACTCTTTTGCCTTACTTGACTCTTTCCCCAAAAACTGTTTCTAAGATGAAGAATTAACATGTTCAGACTATATTGATTCTCCAAACATCTACCCTATTAAAACTAACAATTCATTTTTTAAAAATGCATTTACTGATCTTCAGCATTGGAGGAAAAAAATCATCGTGTATATGGTGGCCTCATGTTAGATTTAAGGTTGAATCAGAGATAATTCTGTCCTAAAGTAGTTTATCTGATAGGAATGCCAGGCCATGTACATAAATAGGTAGTAAAAAGTAGGAAGCTATATTATCTTATTGGGACAATGTAGGTTAACACACAGGGTTGACAAGGGCAGGTGGTATTTCTCTTGTCTTTGTATACTGTCTGGAACCTCTGTTCTGATGAAATGAGTGCACCTTCCCCAAGCCATGTGATGCTGTCAGGAAATCAGTTAAAAGTTACGAAAATGTAGCTGGAATGATGTGCCTAGATGTGCTAGGCTCCAATTCTATTTTATGCACTATATATTTCTATTTTGAAGGAGCAGAATCAATTTGATTTTTAAAAAGACTAAAGCCAAATAATGTGTGTGTTATATGTGATTGGAAGATTTATCAAGTTAAATTTCTATTCTGTTTTAGTTATAGATCTGATGGTACCAAAAAAGATCCCCTTAAGATCAACTCTATGGTAAGCAGTTTTATAAGAAATTGGCATAGCATAAAAAACTTGAATTTTTGTTCGTTTGTTTGGTTAGTTGGTTTTCCCCTCACATTGGTCTAATTATCACAAAGCTATTCTAGCTCAACAGATTGTTCTTTATACAGTTCTTAGTTGACTTGTGCAGATTTATCAAAAAAAAGCATAAAACTTTCAGCTTTTTTGTTGTTGTTGTTTTTAAGACAAGGTCTCACTGTGTAATTCAGGCTGGCCTTGAGTCCACTGTGTACCGTAACGTACCTTGAATTCACAGTGATTTTCCTGCCTCAGCCTCCCAAATGCTGGGATTAGAGTGTGTACCAGCATGCCCAGCAAAAGTTTTGAACTTTTTTAAAAAAAGCTTTTGAACTTTTGAAATTTTGCAATTATTCATGACTCTCTTTCCCTCCCTATTAGAGTGTAGCCCACAAATTGAGAATCACTAATGAAAAAAAAATTATCATGGAATCTAATTATAGAATGTTAAAAGTGAATGGGTCTGGAGTAATTTATTTAAACCTTTGAACTTTATAGAGGAGGAACTTAAACCTTCAGAAACCAAATCACTGGGTGAAGATAACATAGCAAAAGGCCAGGCTGGAATGAAGCTGCTAGTCTCACAGCTTCCAATCTAACACTCTTTGCTGTATGGGAAAAAATGCATCTGTTGTAGATGATTCTTTGCTGAGCTTCTACTAGATAACCTGGATCTTATTCTGTAAAGAAGCTCTTTGTGCTTGAGACACAACTAAATTAAAGTAATGGAGAAGTTACCAAAGACAGTAGGTATTTCTTAGGATTGGGATCCTAAATTGAAGTTATGGACAGTTCTTAATATTTTCATCAGTCTAAACAAAGGGCAGTGATAGATAGTGGTTTTCTCTGGAAATAGCTAAGATATGCCTGGAAGGCATGACTCTTTGTGTGTTTTTATGGTTCCTTTAACCTGGAGAAGTCATTAATTATACTGTTATTGGTTATTTCAGATATGACTGAAGTTAGAAAAGGTTAACGAGAACCTTTTATTGTTCTGATGTTTTATCTCTGCTTTCCTTCAAGTGCTGGGGTGCAGAAGGCTATCATCTATGGGTAATCAGTGGATCTGATTCTCAACACACTTCACATGAGACTGACCTAAGGAGTACAGTTAAACAACCTAGCATTCTGCTATTTCAGTTTATCAAGAGTGTACTCACTGTAAACCCTTGTATGGTAAGTATATTCAAACTCTAATTTCTTTTTTTTTTTTTTTTTTATTGGTACCAGGGATTGAATTCACAACCGCCTGTTTGCAAGGCAGGTGCTTATGCCATTGAGCTAAATCCCCAGCCCCCATAATTTCTTTAGTGACTTTCATGTCAGAATTTCAGATCTTCTTTATGACCCATAAATGTTGAATATCCTTCTAAAATTGGCCTGTTACCTTCTTTTCTGTATTTTCTGTGATTTTTGTATTTCTTTTAAATTTATATTAAATTTATACCAGGATCTTACTTCTGAACATGTGTTGGCATTTTTGGTATTTGGTTCTTTTTAAAAATAAGATTACAAGCAGTGTTTATATGTTGAATAACTTGAATAATTTAGCCATTTTCTGAATAGGATTTCTCAGACTGTTCCACCAGATAACACTTGGAAAACATAGCAATTCCTCAGGATTTAAAAAGCAGTGTAAAAACTCTGCTTTCTTGTATGAAATAAGGCTTTAAAACAAAGTAGTAGAGATTATTATAGGACTTTGGAGTCTCAAATATGTACATGTGCATAATAATCTAGGAAATGGAATATAAAGTATTCCTCATACTTTGACTTTCGAAGAATACCTTGAAATAGTAAATATGTCTAGGAATATTCTTTGGGAAGCACTTCCCTAGATAATAATATAAAGTTCCCAAATTTATCAGTCTAAAGTAATACATATTAATATTATTATGTTGATAATATAAAATATAAATTACATATTGGGAGTACATATCTGTTTGCTTGTTTGTTTGTTTGTTTTTTGAAACAAGGTCTTGCTATATAGCCTAGGCTGGCCTCGAACTCACACTTCCTGAGTGCTAAGATTACAGACATGCACTCTCCACCTGGCAGGAGTATGTATCATAATACCTATCAACAGTGACTGTTTAAAGATACTTGTTACAACAATTTAAATTTATAACACATTAAAAAATAATGTAAAAAATAGCCTAGATCTCATATACATTACTGAAGTTGAAAAATAAAGTGTTTCTTACTGCCCTTCCCTATCCCAAATAATAATTTTGAAGCACTCCTGAGTTTTATTTCAAGACAGCATTTGAACTAAAATGGAAAGGTAAAAGTAATACAGTTCCTTTAGTCTGATTTGAAAAGTTAAAAAGTCTTCTACCTTAGGAACACTGCTAGCTTTCTAATTGAAAACTAGGACATAATTGCTAAAGGCACAAACTGTCTTTTTGAAAATATTCTTAAATAGTTTTGGCACTAAGCAAGCACTTTGCTGTGTAAGTAATTGTTGAATTTTACTAACACCAAACTACAGACTTATGCTTTTCTTCTTCCTTTGCCATGACTTAAAAGATCCTCCAGCATCCATTTCTCTCTCTTGCCCATTTCCCCTCATCTGGTCATGTGGACACATGGTCATACACACACACAAACACATTGTTTGTTTTTTTTAAAACTGTACTTTTTACTAGTACATGTTTGTTATAAATAATGCTTACATTCATCATTGGGGAAATTTGTGCCTTACATGATGTATCTGAATTATCTGAGTTTGTTTTCTCCCCATTCCCCTTTTCATCCTTCAGCTGTTCCTCCCCTCCCCATTTAATAAAGTTTTGTTTCCTTTTTATTCATTCTGTTCTCTATATTTTTCCTTTTTCTTTCCTGCCCTTCCATTTTCCCATCTGATTTGAATGTTTTCTTCCTATATCCCATTTTCTGTTACCCTTTTTTGGTCCTTATTTGCACTTTCAGTTTCTCAAACGAGAGAAACAGTGTGATATTACAAATGTGTCTGACTTACTTCACTTAAAAACATGATCTCAAGATGCATTCATTTACCTAAAAATGTCTCAAGATATCCTTCTTTATGGTAGAGTAGGACTCTATTCTATATAAAGACTGCATTTTCTTTATCCATTCATCCAGTAATGGACATCTAGGTCATTAGGCCTAAGATTCAGCGATTATCAGTTGTGCTGCTCTAAACACAGCTCAGAAGGCTGTGGTATGATGCTTTTAACTCTTTTGAGAAGGTACCAAAAAGAGGAACAGCTGGAATCTTTTGTTTTAGGGTTTTTTTTTTTTAAAGGAATCTCCACTCTGATTTCCATATTGGTTATGCCAATTTACCAACAGTGTTTTCCCCAAAGCCTTACCAGCATTTGTTATTGGTTGGTTACTTGCTGATAACCATTCTTTCTGTAGTGAAATGGAATTTCAGTGTTGTTTTAATTTGCATTTCTCAAATGACCCATAATGTTGAACATTTTTTCATATACTTACTTGTTCTTTGTATTTCTTCATCTAAAAAGTGTCCATTCTAGTGGCCTAATTTTGGATTGAATCTTTAAATTTAGAGGATCTGATTAAATTTAGGGAGGAGTTGTTTATATAGTCTAGATTTTGGTTTTGGTGGGGGTTGTTTTTATTTTTGTTTTTGTTCTGATTTTTGTACTGGGAATTGAATCCATGACCTCATGCTTGCCAGGCAGGTGCTGTACCACTGAGCTATGTCTTTGGCCCAAGATACTAATTTTTGTCAAGGAGTAGCTAGTAAAAAATGTTTTCCTATTCTGTGGGTTGTCTCTTCATTTTATTGGCGGTGGGGGTTTTTTGTTGTTATTTTTGTTTTTTTGTGTGTGAATGCATAAAGTCTGCCTGTGTCTCTCTCTTCAAGAATTTTACCTGTTTTGTCTTCCAGAAGATTGTTTCTGTTTCAATATTTAGATCTTTGATCCCTTCCATTTTAGTTTAGTGCACGGTGAGAGATACGAGTGTAGGTTTAATCTTTGGCATATGGAAAGCTAGTTTTCCCCTCATTGTTTAGGGAAGACACCATCTTCCTGTGAAGATGTTTGGCATTTTTGTCAAAGATCAGGTAGCTGAGTGTGCTTAGAGTTGATTCTGGATCTTCTATTCTGTTCCATTGATCCTTTGGTCCGTTTTGTTTTGTTTTTGCCAGTATTATGCTGTTTTTTGTTTTTGCTTTTTATCACAGTAGCTTTGTAATATGACTTCCAATTAGGGAGTGATGCTTGCCTTGCCTTTGTTGCCACAATTGCTTTTCATATTCTAGGTCTCTTCTGGTTCTAAATAAATTTTAGAGTTGTTTTTCTAGTTTTGTGAGATATGCTCTTGATATTTTCATTGGAATTGCATTAAATCTGTGTAAGATTTTTTGGAAGTGTGACTGTTTTCACTGTTTGGTTCTGCCTCTCTGAGAATAAGGGATATCTTTCCATTTTCTGATGTCTTCGATCTCCTTTTTCAGAGTACTGTAGTTTTTAGTGTAAAGGTCTCTTATTTTCCTCATTAAATTCATTTATAAATATTTCATTTTTTTGGATGCTATTATGAGAGATGTGGCTTCTCTAATTTTTCTCTCAATGAGATTGTTATTCATGTAGAGAAATGCTGTTGGTTTTTGAGTATTGACTTTGTAACCTGCTATACTGCTGAATTTGGTTATTAAAATGTAGCACTCTTTGGTAAAGGTTTTGGGGTCTTCTATGTAGAATATCATATCTGTAAATAATCATAATTTAACTTCTTCCTTTCTTACTGTTACTCCTTTTCTTTTTGTCTAATTCCTCTGATGTTTTCAGAAATATATTGGAGAAAAGTGGTGATAGTGGGCATCCTTGTGTTATTCTTGATTTTAGCATAAAAGCTTTTGATTTTTGACCCTTTAATATGATGTTGGCTTTTATCAGATTGAAATAAAGGCCATCTGTTCTCATATTCTGAAGAGATTTTATCATGAACAAGTTTTGGGCTTTTTCAAATGCTTTTTCTGCATTTATTGAGATGGTCATGTAGTTTTTATCTTTGGTTCTATTAATGTGGTGTATTACATTTATTCATTGCATACATTGAACTGTTGTTATGTTCCTGGGATGAATACTACCAACTTGATCATGCAATGTAATCTACCTGGTTGCTACTCGGTTTGCCAGCATCTTATTGAGAATTTTTGGATCTGTGTTCATTAAGGAGATTGGCCTGAGGTTCTCTTTTTAGGTTGGCTCCTTCTCTGGTTTTGATCCCAGGATAATGCTACTTCCAGGAATGAGTTTGGGAGTTTTGCTTCCTTTTTTATTTCATTAAAGAGTTTGCGCAGTAGTGGTATTTACATGTGCTCTAAATTTCTTGTGGAATTCAGCAGTGAATCCATCAGGAACTGAACTGCTCCCCCCCGCCCCGCTTTGGTAGTTTTTAATTACTTCTGTTTCTTTAATTGATATTGGATTATTTAGAATTTACATATTTTTTTGCTTCAGCTTTGGTAATTCATATGTATTTAGGAATCTGTGCATTTCTTCTGAGTTTTCCATTTTATAGCAGTACATGTTCTCAAAGTAGGTACTGATGCTCTTCTGGATTTCAATGTGATCTGTTGTGATTTTGACCTTTTTCTTCCTAATTGCATGAATTTGAGTCTTTCCTTTTTTTGTTTAAATGAGGTTGGCTAACAGTTTGTCTTTTATTTAATCTTTCAAAGAACCAACTCTTTGATTTTTTGCATTTTTTAAATTCTCAATTGTGTTAATTTCTGCTCTGATCTTTATCATTTCCTTCCCGAGTTTAACTTGCTCTTCTTTCTCTAGAAGTTTGAGGTTCCACATTAAGTTGTTTATTTTGCTCATTCCATTTTTCTAATGTGGGAAGTCACTGCTGAACATCTTTTTTTTTTAAATTTCATCTTTGACCTATTGGTGGTTCAGGAGGCTTTTTTTGTTTTGTTTTTGAGACTGGGTCTTGCTATATAATTCAGAGTGATCTTGAACTTACTTGGCCCAGGCTGCTCTCAAACTCCTAGTGATCCTCCTGCCTCAGCCTCCCAAGTGCTCAGATTACAGGTATTTGCTACCACACACACAGCATGGAGAGTATTATTTAGTTTCCATATGTTTATGAAGTTTTTGTGATTTCTTTTGCCATTGATTGCCAATTTTATTGCACTATGATTTCATAATATGCACTGGATAATTTCAGTTCCTTTGTACTTAAGCATGTTTTGTGAACTAGTACATGGCCTATTTTTAAGGAATTTCCATGTGCAGCTGAGAAAATGTGTATTCTGTGGTTCAGTGGAATACTCTGTAATGTCTACTAAGTCCATTTGTTCAAGGGTTTCATTTAGCTGTGACTTTTTTGTATAGTTTGTATAGTTGTACAGTTGATTTGTCTATTTGTGACAGTGGAGTGTCGAGCTTCTCCCCTATAACTATATTAGTTCTTATATGGTTTCTTATATCCATTAATGTTTGGTTTATTCGGTTGAGTGCACTGATATATAGTGTGTATATATTTATGATTATTGTCTCTTCCTTTTGGATTTTTCCCTTAACAAGTATGTAGTAGTCTTCTTTGTCTCTTTTGCATTTGCCTTGGAATCCACTTTGTCTGCAAGTACAGTAGCTGACCCTGCTTTTTTCTGGGTGCCTGTCACATACAGTATTGTTTGCAACCCTTTAACTTTCCATTAACAAATTCCTTTTTTAATTAAATGTATATCTTACATGCAACATTATGTTGAATCTTGCTTATTGATCTAGTTTGCCAATGTTTCTTTTGATTGGTGAATAGGAGCCATTTATATTGATATTACAACTGATACTGCCTTATCCATGTCATATTATTTTCCTGTTACTGGTTCCCTTTCTGTCCCTTCTGTGTAATTGCCTGCCTTTCCTGGTGGATTCACTCTACTAAGATTCTTGGAATTGGTGTCTTTATTGTCTAGAATATCCTTGTGAACTTTTTGGAGTGCTGGTTTGGTGATTATGAATTTCTTCAAGTGTTCTTTGTCATGGAAGTATCTTATTTCTCCTTCATTTAAAAATGACAGTTTTTTAAAATGACAGAGCTATCATGTCACAAAATTCAGCTGGGAAGTTTTTTAGTTCTTTCCCCTCAATGTCTTTTGGACTTGCCTTGGGAAAATTGGGTGTTTTACATTGCATCTTGCTTGTTTTCTCAATTTCTACTTTTAGTTTTGTTTGTTTTCTTTGTTGAAACCTGAAAAATGCTTAAGGTAGGTAGTTTTCTGCTGTCAAGACCTCTTTACATAGTGACTACTTTTTGGAGCTATCTTCTAGGTATAGCTGACTTTTGGCCTTTGAGTCTGTCCCAGAATCCTACCTCTTCTGTTGTTTAGGGTTGAGAGATTGCAGCCTGTTTGGCCTAGAACCCAGTTCTTTGATACTGAGCTACAGTATTGTTTATGGCCTTCAGACAATCTAGGTATTGGCATGTAAGGAGGATCAGTTGATTACAACAGCTGTGTCATCTTGGGTAACAGTACAATCAGTAATAATTATAGTGTCAAACACGAAGTGGAAAATGACAAACTGAAATAACTAATACTTCGTTACCTTTAACTCTCAGTACAAGATTGATAGTTATGAAACAAAATGTAAGACAAATCAGAAAATGATACATAGAAAACTACCCCTCAGTATAGCAATTTACTCCTTTTCACTGCAAAATAGTAGTCAGCCTTAGTATGGAATAAACTCCTTATTGAGTCATAAGGGTGAGTGGTATGGATTTGAAAGTATGGAGAAAAAAAGAACAAAACAGATTATGGATTAATAAAAGCTGTGGTAGATGGAAGACTGTGATAAAATTGTTGTAGGAGGTCTTGTTAAGGAGTGAATGGAAATTAGTGGTATTAGATAACAGTAACAGAGATGACCACAGAGGAGGTTGAATAATGAGTAGAGATGAAACTAGAGGGAAGGAAAATAAAAACTACTGGAAGAACAAGTTGGAAGAAAGAAGAAATTAAGAGTAGAAGGGCTGTTCAAACAAAGAAATCAAAGTAATATTAAAATAGGGGGCAAAAAGATGGATGGTTAAACTCTATCTTCTGCCAAAAAAGTGAAAAGAAAAATCAAAAACTAGTAATGGAGAAGAAAAAACAAAAAGAGAGGAAAAAGTTCCTGTGTGTTTCCAGATGAGTATTTTCCCCCTAGGTCGGTAGTCTTTTATCTTACAAATCAGGTTCTTCCTTGTCCCTCCAGTTAGTTGTGTTTTAGTTGATCTGAGTTTCTCTGACATGACTCCTCCTCTGTTCAGCCATGTTCCTGTTTCTTAATAAATCTTGTTCTTGGATTCTGTGCATTATGAGCAGGTAATTCTAGAAAGGCAATATGAGTGCACACACACACACACACACACACACACACTTAATTGCTGGCAACCCCTTTCTTAATCTTAAAAAGGGACATTAAGGATTGCAGTAGAGATATCAGTTATCGGTTGTTGTGGATTATAGCTAGATGTTTCCCTCACAAACATATTTTTGATCAGGCATGCTTTCTTAAAACCATTTATGTATACTTTTTTTTTTTTTGAGACAGAGCCTTGCTATGTAGTTCAGGTTGACCTTGAACTCACTTTGGAGTCTAGGCCGGTCTCAAACTCACAGCAGTCCTCCTGCCTCAGTCTCCCAAGTGCTGGGATTACAGGCATGTGCCCCCATGCCTGGCTTGATGTATATTTTTTTTGAAACCAATTTGTATACTATAAACAAAAAATAGTTATATTCATTTTTTCAGATATCAGAATCTCTTCATAGCAATGATATTTTAGAGTAGTGAAAAATACTGCTATAGCAGTGATAAACCTGGGTATGATTACAGCTATGTGATAAAACAGACGTTAGCAAAGATTTGATTTTTACTGGGAAATAATCGTTAAAATATTGTCTTTCTATAATACTGCTGAGATTGGAGTAGTCTTTGTTCTCCATAGAGAAAATCAACATTGAGATATACAGCACATTTTCTATAATAGAAATCTTTAGTGTTAATTTTCCCCATCTAATGTTAGATTATTTTTATGTGCTTTGCTTCTTTGCCCCTCTTTTTCCTCATTCTTTATCTAGAGTAACCAAGAGCAGGTGTTGCTTCAGGGAGAGGATCGTTTGTACTTGAACTGTGGAGAGGCCTCACAATCCCAGAGTCCCAGGAATTCCTCAGCACACTGTGAGCATAAGCCCAGGCAGGAAAAGAGCTTATTTGCAGATGGAGGTTTAGAGTCTCAAGGTTTAAGCAATTTACTTGGACATCGGCATTGGCATGTTGTACAGGTAGGTGTTTATTACTTGATTACAAGTAACTCAATCCGTGGTAAAATATCACTTGTATTTTTAATTATGATTCATCCTTTATTTCAGAACCTGAGAATTTTTATTCTTTTTGACTGTCATGTCTGTCCTCCGCTTTTCTGTGTTCTTGTCCTCTTGTTTTCTTCCCACTTGATACAGAGTGTATTTTCACCTGCTTTAAGTCTCTTAATAGTGTCAAAAACTAGGAATTCATTTTGCCCTGAAGATAACTTTATTTTACTTTCAGCCTTTTTTGTGTAGTTTTGTGGATTTGTGTAGGCAAAAGCGTAGTCATTACATGAAAAGTGGAGATACTAACTAGTACCTTGTGCAGCTGACCCTATAATCCTAATTGGGTTACTTTTAGATGAATTGCCTGACAGTGGATCCAAATTATAAACTTGCGATTACTATGGAATTTTGTTATTTATTGTATTATAATGTAATCTTGTCCAAAGTTATTCATTCTCATAACATTTTTAAATTCAAAATTTCTTTTAATCTGACAAATTTGGTATATAACATGGAAATTAATTCTGAATTTTTGCACCAATTAAAATTAACTTGGGACAACCTATAAATAGGAATTTCTTTAAAAAAAAAATAAAACTCACAGACATTAGCTTCAAAGACCTGAATGTTTTCTTTGCCACTTTGATACCAAAGTGCATCAGAGCTTTTTTTTTTTTTTTTTTTTTTTTTGCTGTTTTTTCAGTCAGTTTGTTTCCACAATTCTTTGCCTTCTGGTCTCCATCCTTATACCTTACTAGCTTACTTCAGCTCTCATGTTATTTTTAGTTGGGTTTGAGTAGAGATAATGAAAGACAGAAAAAATACTCATGTGAAAGAGAAGGAGGAATATCTCCTACATTAACTGTGGTATGCACTAAAAGAAAATGTATTTACCGTACATTAATTAAATTCATAGAGTCAAACAATGTACGTACCATTTTATAGTTAGTAACAATTTTTAAATAAATTTGCATCAACTACTTCCTTGACTAAAATTTTCCACTGCTCCCTTCTCTCCTATAGCCATTTCTCTGCTATTTTCATTTCCCCATACTTTGAACTATTCATTCTACACTGACCTAGCATCAATGCCAGTTCTGCCTAGCCAGGTCTGTGTTACCAGAGAGCCAAGTAGAGCAGAGGATCAAAGAAGGTAGGTCTGGAACTCAAAAATCCATCAGGCAATAACAAAATTGAATTTCCTTCCAGCTCAAAAATTCAGTGATTCTTACCCTTCTGTTCACATAAGACAAGCATGTAACATTGATTTTAGGATTTTAAGTACCTTTAATATTTTTGTCATCCTGTTCTAAAGATATGTAGAAAGATAAACTTTTTAAACCTGAGTGTACCCAAGTTTTACAGTTTTCTTGAAAATAGTGCCACACTTGTACTCCCAGAACAATTAAAATTATAAAAGACTCATAGAATTTTTAGCGCTGGAAGGACCTTAGAGTTCATGTAGACCAACTGGATTTTATACATGAGGAAACTGAAGCACAGAGAGGTTATGTGACTTGCCCAGGGTCATCCAGCAGAGTAGAGGCAGACCTATTCTTTACTGTGAACATTAAAGTAAAAGAGCTAATGTATTTCAAAATTTAAATACTAAATGTTGATTCAGTGTAGCTTCTGACCTTAAGCTAAAACTTAGAACTTGTGTGTTTGCACATGTTTTTACTTGGAGTTGCGCTATAGTCTGTTTGCTAGCCCCACAATTGACTGCAGAGTAATGATGGTCTTTCAGCAGGGTGCACTACAGTGTCTATATAATGCTAAAGCTTTGCTTTCCAGGCTTTTTTAGCCAATACTGATGATTCCCTGAAGAAAAATGGGTGCCTGATTCAACGTACTCTTTTTTTTTTTCTAGGATAAGACCACATCTTCCATCAAAGTTGATTTGTGTGTGATATTTTGTATTCTTGTATAGCTTAGAATTTGTCTAATGAGCTCCAGCTAATTCTGCTGTTTCTGTTCCTTGTTTAGAGTACTGGATTTTTGTCTAAGCCTTAACCTCTAGATTTGAAGTCTATGCTAACTGTTCTTCTTTTAGCTAATACTTGTCAGAAGCTATTAATAGAAGCTATTAATAAAGAGTGTTTTTATTTTATCTTTAAATTTTTATTTTTGTGTTTACAAATTTAGAAAGCAATGGGATATAATACGAATTTTTTAAAAAACTAAAAGACCTAGGTTTAGGCTCCATTCCTTCTCAGACTGCCATTTTCTTTACTCCATATTTTGTACAGTGTAAATATTTATTTCTGAAAGGTGAATTAGTTATTATTATCCATTATTCTGTATTGGCTTTATAATATGGCTTTATTTGGAAAAAATAACCTTTGCAAAATGTGAATGAAAAGTATTGTATATTAGGCCCTACTAACAGTGGGTTTTAAGGGCTTTTTCACTTATAAATAATTGACTTTCATCCTACAATATGTGTCAAATGTACCAGGTGTGATATTTGATACACATTTAACTTGCTAGGCAAATGGGTCCCCTCATCTCATCAGTTTCAGCGGGGGAAAAAAACTAGGCAGGAGACAGGATTTTAATACTGTGACTTTAAAAGTCAAAAAGCAGGGCTGAGGATTTAGCTTGGTGGCATAATTGTTGGTGGCATAATTGCCTGCCAAGGGTGAGGTTGTGAGTTCGATTCTCAGTACCAAAAAAAGCTCAAAAAGTAAAAAGTCAGATTCAGGTTAAGTAAGACTGAAAAACCTGTAAACAAGAAGGATGGAGAGTCCCTCTGTACCTTGGCCCTTAAGTTTTCCAGTGATGTGGCATGACTTTTGTGCCCTGAGTGTACATTCTTTTTTTTTTTTTTTTCTGAGTGTGCATTCTTGACCTAAGTGTCTTTGTTCTTCATTAGCTGACTCTCCTTATTTTTGCCATTTTCCATTCTCAGTATTAGGAATAGAGTTCTGACGACATAAATCAGTAGAGGTGACCAACTATGGAAACTACACAATTTTATTCATCTGTATGTTACAACATTTTCAAACCAAAAATCCATGACAAAGCTTTATTTTGTATGAGATGTGTGCATATGCCACACTTGCGTGGTTTTTGATTTTTTTGTTTTCTGTTTTTTTATAAAGCTGGCAGGTTAAAAAAATAAATGGTTTTCTCTTACAATATTCATTAGAATATGATCATTTGATAAGATTTAACTTCTCTTCCTATGTTTAGAAACTCTTTATGTTTAGAATCTAAGATCACAGGTTCCAAATTACCCACATACATGTTTCAGAAGTACTAATGAAATACCAAAGTTTGGGGAAGTTACCAAAGTACCAAATCATGATTCTCCTGCCTCAAACTGTTCAGTGTGGGAATGACAAGAAACTGCTACCACACTCAATGGGTTTTTAATTTGGCTTTTAAAAAAAAAGATGACCATTTTTTGAGTAAATTTGAATAAATTGAAGCTTTTCTTTTTCTAGAAACAGAAGACTTCTTGTATTGTTCTGTTAGTTCATAGCACACTCCTACCAAATGCTCATGAAAAATATTTAAGGTTAGGTATGATGACACATGCCTATAATCCCAGTTATTCAGCAGGTGGAGGGAGAAGGATCAGAAGTTTGAGACCAGCCTGGGCAATTTAGCAAGACGCTATCTCAAAATGAAGTGAAAATAACAAATGTATCTTACGCATTTCTTAAATTCAGTTTCCAGTGTCACAAAAGAATAAATAAACACATGCACATAGGCTAATAGATCAGAGTTTTAATAGAGCTAGAATTTGCTTAATCCACATTGAAATCTCAGACTGAATTAAATGTAAAAGTTTTAATAGAGTGATACAATAACATAATGTAGAAAGATGTAAGATAGGTAACATGGGAAAATACATTTACCACTGATACTACAGATATAGTGGATATAGTATTAGTATTTTGCCATATTAAGATTTTTTATAAATATGTAAAGTGAATACTTCAGTAGAAAAATAGAGCTTAAATACAATCTTACATGTATAGAAGTAAAATAAAAGCTAACTAGTGATTGCTCCTGAACAATAATTTCATTTTGTACTTTGTACATTTTTGTATTATTTAATTGTATAAACATTGCTTCATAATCTGAAAAAATATACAAGTAATAGAATTTCCCTTTCAAAACCAAAACCCTTGCTGAGGCTGGAATTTTATTATGTAAGGTTGTTTGGCTATAGTTCACATCTGCAAACCAAAACTATCCTTCTGCAGAGTTCATGACTATCCTCACTTGTACTTCTCCAAAAATCTTTTGTCGGTCTCTATTTACTAAGTTTAATAATACAAAAAATGAAAACATTGTGGAGGGAAAAAGAGGAAAGTCTGATGTTTACAAACTTTAAATGTTTAAAACATGAGATATGAAATACTGACCCATAAATGGTAAATCCCAAGTACTTTGCTACTGATAGCCCCTATTTGTGTCACCTTAAATATTGTACAGGAAACTGAATCTCTTAACTCTGATAAGTTAATACTTTTAAGTTTAAATATATTTCATAAAGTCTTACCAAACCGATATGTTATTTTCTGTAGATTTCCACCATCTATCTAGAGAGCAATTGGCCTATACGGGTGAGTTGTTTTGTTGGTGTTAACTTCATTGGAATAGCATAGGCTGCATGACGCATTTCTGAGAATTAATGTGTGTATTGATAAAAGTAAAATTTTAATATTTGATGTGTTACATATTACTAGTACTAACATCTATAGTTTTTTCAAATATAACTACTTCAGTTTTAAAATCTGGCATTTTACATTTAATTCACTTAGAAGTATTAATAGTCTATTCACTTTACACAGATTAAGCACCTTATGTGTAATAAAGTAGGTTTGCAAGGACAAGTTCTTCATGTTTTTTTTTTTTAAACAGTTTTCGGCTATTGATAAACTTGGACAGAATATTGCTGTGGTTGGCAAGTTTGGTTTTGCACATTACTCTTTACTCACCAAAAAATGGAAACTTTTTGGAAATATTACTCAGGTTAGTCATTTTCAGATATTTAAAAAACAATTTATCAGTCTAAAATAACTATAATATGATGTAACTATACCTTACATTTACTTTAAAAAACATTATTTACTTATAAAAGGAAATCAAATATAATACATGACATTTTATAATGTCTGAGTGAATTAGATAATTTGGTAAAATATCTGGTATTGAAATAGTAAATTTGTTTTTAATTCTTAGGATTAGTGGCATTCTTTAGCGTGAGGATTTAGTCTTACTTTCAAAGTTGAGTTCATTAACCATATGATAAGAATACATTTCCACAAAATTTTGAGTCAAACCCTGCTTGTCTGTAGTATGAGTATGAATGCTGCTGCCAAAGGCCTATCTAATGGATAGGCAAGATCTTCCATATGGGAGGCAGATACAGGTTCTTAGTAACAGTGCATGACTAATTTCAATTTGTTTGGTGCTGTTAACTGGTTGTGAGGTCATCTGATGAATAAAAATGCGAGAATTTAAACTAAGGTCTTTTGGATGTGGAAATAGTGGAACTATATGGTTCTCAGGTATTTTGAATGATGTATTTGCTTCCTTAGTGAAATATTTATTTCTCATATTGGATATGAATCATTATTAATAAAGGTCCTAGAAGAATAATGGCAGAATTTTCAGTGATAACAAGTAGCTGTAGCTTTGCCTCCGTTTCCTTAGAATAATAATTTAGGGAGAGAAGAGAGTAAAGCAAAAATAATTTGAACTGTCTTTGTCTGCCTTTGGAATATTTTATACTACTTTCTATAATTTCTGGTAACATAATTAAGGTACATACATTTTAAAACTTTTCTTTTAAGGAACAAAATATGATTGTGACTGGTGGCTTAGCCTGGTGGAATGATTTTGTGGTCCTTGCATGTTATAACATTAGTGACCGTCAAGAAGAAGTAAGTTTTATTTAACCCCTCTCAAAGAATAGTTTTATATTTTAGAGTTAATAAGTACTGTTTCATTTTGTATAGAAAGTAGTCTGTTGAAGACTGTTAGGTTTTTTTTTTTTTTAAAGAATCTTACTCTGTAGTTCAGATTGGCCTTGAACTTACTGTATAACCCACGCTGGCCTCCAGCTTCAAGTAGTTCTCTTGCTTCAGCCTCCCAAGTTGTAGGATTACAGTATATGCCACTATGCCTGGCTTGGGACTTCTAGGATAACCTTTTCTAAGGATTTTTAGCTGTTAAATATTCTCTATAAAAGTTTGGTAATAAAAAATAATTAAGCAGGCATGATAGTACATGCCTGCAATCCCAGAATTCAGGAGTCTTGAGACAGGAGAATTGCTGTGAGTTCGAGACCAGTGTTGGCTAGATAAGGGAGTTCAAAGCCAGCCTGCGTTACATAGCAAGACCCTGTCTCAAACATAAATGCATGCATACATACATATAAGTTTGTAAGAATGGCTGTTCTTGAGCCAAGTGTGGTGGTACGTGCATGTAATCTCAGCACCCAGGCCGAGGCAGAACTCCTGTGAGTTCAAAACTAGGTTAGGCTACATAGTGAGTTCAAGGCCAGGATGGACTACATACATAGTGAGACCTTGCTCAAAAAAAAAAAAGACTGGTTTTAAAGATAGATTTATGAACTTGATTTATATGTTTACTTTCAGAAATATTTTATCTTACTAGGTTTAAATATGCAATTAAAAGAAATGTTGCTTAACAGTTACAATTTTGAGCACTTTGTCTAGGTTATTTGTAAAATGAACCTAGCTTCCCAAATATAAACATAAAGCATTTATTACTAAAAGATTTAAATAGCTCTTAATTCTTAATACAGAGGTCAAGTGTCAGTAGTAAAAAGTTTGACTAAAGTATTTAGTCATCCCTGATAGATATCTTATTTTTATGATTTTTCTTTATTTTCTTCTTCAGCTCAGAGTATACTTGCGAACATCAAATTTGGACAATGCCTTTGCTCATGTCACCAAGGCACAAGCAGAAACATTACTGCTTAGTGTCTTCCGGGACATGGTAATAGTATTTAGAGCAGACTGTTCTATATGTCTTTATAGTATTGAAAGAAAATCTGATGGGTAAGTTATAGCATGGAAATGACTTTTTGCTCTTGTTTTTCATGTTTCCTTTGTTGGTTTTGTTTTCTCAAAACAGTTTTTCCAGCTTTTATTTAGTTTCCCCTTCTTAGAAGTCAAATGTAAGAAGTTGTAATTAGTGATGTCTATGTAATAGCCATGAAAAAAAGAGAAGAAAAAAAATCACCTACACTGAGTTCCTCAGCTAATCTTCTTGGATTCATTTGAGGGGAAAAAAGTGAGGAAAAGAAAATTTGATTTTTGTCTGAGGTGTAAGTCCTTAGATACTGAATTTTTCCACAATCTTGAAATCAGTAGCTAATAAATATCCTAATGTTCCAGACACTTAGAGAAACTTGAAGGAATTCTATAGCTTTAAGGCCTTAGGAAACATTTCCCAGACTCCTGTATTTCCTATATAAATATATTTACTATGTAAATATTTCTATATTTATGTAGTAATAGATGGCTAGAGTCTACAGCACAAAAAACCAAAACTCCTGTCTGCTCTGCTGTATATGGCCTTAAGTTCTTCTTAGCACCTAGTTGACTGGAAGCTGTTAGACCACACCTCTTGAGTTTTGTTTTGTTCTAGCCATAAACTATGCATTTGCTGAAGTAGCATAGTGAGTGGGGAGTAATGCAGAGAATATTAAAACATATTAGTAGCCTCAGTAACTAAACTTTCATCCTTCTCAGTCAACTAGGTTTTTTTCCCTTTAAATATTTCTGTTCTTGTGTCTTCCTCAGTTGTTCTTTTATTTTTATTTTTTCTTCTTTTCAATATTTTATTCCCCTTCTTTTCCTTACCCCCATGTGTTCTTTGGGTTCCTTAACCTAGGTAATCCTGATCAAAGGATATTTAGACAGGAGAGGATAGTAAGTAGAAGGCATTTGGGTTTGTCATAGTCATGGAGATTAATTGCATTAGAAACAAAAAAGAGAGAAAATAATGGTTAGAATTGTTTTTGACTATGGGGGTTTCTTTTGTTTTTACAGTTCAAATACTACTGCTGGTATTCATGTTCTCCAGGAGGTCTCCATGTCACGCTACATTCCTCACCCTTTCCTAGTAGTATCTGTCACTCTGACATCTGTGAGTACAGAGAATGGAATCACCTTGAAAATGCCACAGCAGGTACCATACCATTATCCAGGTCTTAGTATTTTAAGGTGGTGGTTGGAACTAGTTGGATAGCAAATGAATACTACCTATCTATCTAGAACGTACTTTGTATGAAGATGTTGGGTTGCAGTGGCAAACTAAACAGACATGGTTTCTGCTCAATTTTAAATAATTATAATGGTTTTTGTTATGCATATACCAAAAACCTAGTATATTCTGAAACATGTGGAATGAGTGGAGAATATTTAAGCAAAGATGAGGAATTTGAGGTAGAGGGACGAGTAATGCCAAGGCTCTTGTAGGCAAGAGAGAACATGACACACTCAGGGAGTTGGAAGAATTTTATTTAGAGTACTGGAACATTGGGTATGGTAGTCTAAACTTTCCAAAGTCCTTTAAAGCAGATATTAGCTCTAAACTTGGTAAGTTGAACAGGAAAATAAACTGCAGAAAGGCCAAACTTTACAAAAGGAGAACAGGTAAGAGGCCACTGTACTGATCAAGGTAAATGGTATTAGTAGCTCAAACTTGACCAGTGACAAAGGAAATGAAGTAAATGAATATAGAATTCAAGGATTCCATAATTATTTATCAGAAGAGAGAGAGTACAGTCCCATAGTTTCAGGATGAAATAACCAAGTGTGTAATAGTGCCTCCATGATCCAGGTTGTAGACTTCCTAAGTCAGAGCTCCTTCTGTTATTCCATTGGTTTTCAATTTTCATGTCAACTGGGAGCCTGTTGTCAAAAGAAAATTGTATGTAGATTTTGTTTCCCCTGTTGACCCTGTCTTTTTATTCTTAAGTATTTCCGTTAAACCTCAGCATTCCATATAATTATGGAGAATTTAACTACTTAATAAAAGAGCGTCTTCCATTTCAGTTGTAATTGTTATAAGCAGTTATTAATAAGGATCACATATCTGATTTATACCAGCATATCCCATTTTTCTGTTCTTTGGATCAAAACATAATAAGTTATTGTTTTCCACAAGATGACCCTTAAAATATTTGCAGACAGTTATTATTCTTCAGCTTCCCTTTCTTGCCTCATTCCTTTCTCTGAGTCTTCTCTTCTGCATACCAGATAATTCCTATATCTTCAGTTATCTCATGTAATATTTGTTCTAGATTCCTTCATTGTTTTCTATAGATGCCCTTTTTTTTCCCTTTGTTTGTTTGTTTTTGTACCAGGAATCAAACTCACAATCTTGCACATGCCAGCCAGGTGCCTTGCCGCTGAGCTACACCCCTGGCCCTTATAGATGCACTTTTGTTTCCTTCCTTAACATATGGCTGTTCTTTACTCTGCAGATTATATTTCTACCTGATAGCCAGGTAGTCCTTAACTGATAGGACAAAGTTTAACCAGAAGTCTAAATAAAAGACATACAAGGAATGTAAGAAGTAAACAATCACTATTTTAAAATCCTGAAGAAATAACTGATTCAGCAGTGATTATTACTGGATGGAACTTTACAGTGACAGGATCGGGTTGTCATAGCAAGCCTTATTAATCATCACTAAAAGTACAAAAGCCATATTGGCTGTCTTGAAAAATCATTGTGAAAAACATTAACCCTAAATCAAATCAAATATGTAGTTATCTTCCATTCACAGAGATATAGATAGAAGATGAGTCTAAATATTTATATATTGCAAAGCAGCAAAATGCAGGACTTTCTGTGAGATAGCTGTAAGTTAATTACATGAGCGGAAGGACAGACTGCTACATCAAATAAGCTTTAAAGTTGTGACAACCAAATGCAATGGATAAGCTAGTTTGTGAAGAAAAATGATAACTGCTATAGTGTAAAACAAATGAAAAGAATCATTTGTATCTTCATAAAAAAGACACTGGTAAACTAATTAGGGATATTTAAATATGCATTGAGAGATAAAGAATAATAATTAACATTATATTAAGGAAATATACACATACTTTAGGAATGAATATTAAATATATGAAGATTAAATGTCCTGATATTTTAGAGTTTTCATAAAGGGACTTTTTATACCGTAGAATCAGTGGGTAATCAATGGTGTTAGTAGCATTGTGCACCCCATTTTAGGAAAGAGGAAAGGATTTAGTGAAGAACAGATAAAGAATTCACTTCAAATGGGAGTTAAATGGATTGGAAAACCAAAACCATGTTGGAATACAGTACTACAACAAAGCAAGTGTTGATTTAATAATAAAAATTTAAGTAGTATCTTTGAGAATTATCATGATATAATAATAAAAAAGTTAAAAAATTACTCTCTGTGAAAATTACTCAAAAATTGGATAGCTTTTCTCATGAAAGAGTGAGTACCCTGTTGCATACTTGAACAGAGAATCGCTTGCCAGGGAGTTTCTAAACTTAAAGAGATTGTGTTTCGAATTCCTTTAGACAGAGTTTTGAGTATTCAGGTAACTCATGCTTCTTCTAAAAACTTACGTTAAGTTTCCTAAGAGTGCTATTAATTACTTATAGTATTAGTAAAAATACTGATTAAGTAAATGCTAATAATATTCTTTAAATTAAAAGGTTTTCTTAGAAAAGGAGTTGGAGATTGAACTAGGGCCTTTGCATTCAGCTAAATTCCCAGCCTTTTTAAGTTTATTTTGAGACAGGATCTCACTGAGTTACTAACCCCTTGCTGGGCTCAAACTTGTGATCATCCTACTTCAGTCTCAGTCTCCCAGATTGCTGGGATTATAGGCTTCTTTTCTTTTCTCCTTTCCTTTCCTTTCCTTTTCTTTTCTTTTCCTTTCCTTTCCTTTCCTTTTCTTTCCTTTCCTCTCCTCTTTTTTTTTCTTTTTTTAAAAGAAGTGTGTGAAGTACAGTGGGGAAATCCATGATTTGATTTGATTGATTTTTTATTGATTGATTGATTGATTGTCTTTTTGAGACAAGGTCTTGCTCTGCAGTTCAGGCTGGCCTTGGGCTCACTTTGTAGCCCAGGTTGGTCTCAAACTTGCAACAGCCCTCCTGTCTTGGCCTCCCGAGTGCTGAGATTACAGGCATATGTTATCACACCTAGCTATGATTTTAAAATTTAAGATACTCAGTATGAATGTTAGTCTCTAGTGAATTTAGTAAGTGCTTTCAAGATCTTTGAAGTGTTTGAGGAATTGGTCTATATGCCAGTTTCCAGATGGCCATCCTTTTTTTTTTTCCTGGTACTGAGGATTAAACTCATGACCTTGCACTTGCCAAGCAGGCACTTCTACTGAGCTAAACCCCCAGCCCCAGCGATACTATCTTGATTGATGTTTGCATGCTTGTTTTTGTCTTTTCTGTGTCATCTAGCAATATTTTACTGTTAAGTGTCTGACTCTTAACAGTCTTACGCATCTTATAATTTCCATGTGTCCTTCACAGATCTCCAACTTACGCTAGTTTTTTGTGTTACAGAAAAGCATCCAAATTTTAGTTTCACTGATTTATATGCAGTGCTTTACAGAACCTAAAAGCCTTTAGCAAGAACATTTTACATAACTGAGCATTTTACAACTAGATTACGTAGAATAGCTGCTTTTTTTCCCTAATTAAATCATAAATGATACTGGCAACTTAAATTTGTTCAGCAAGCAAGTATCAAAGCCTGAGGCATGATCTCACATCTTCAGAAAACTCTTCTTCTTTGATTTATATGGCATTGTGCTTCCTTCTTTCAGTTCTTGCCTTAAAAGCTCAGTGACCCTCTCTGCCCTTTTTGCTCTGTTCAACCCAGTAAACTGAGAAAAGTCATCCCTTTCATTCCATTTACAAACCTCACTCATATCCTTATAATGATGGCCTATTCATCTTGATTCATCATTCAAAGCGCTTCTATTTGAAAGTCTTAAGGTTTTTTCTATTGTAATTGGAGAAGGCTAAATGCTTTTGCTTCCCAGATTTCTCTTCCTAACTTGTTTTGTTGATCACTTCAGCTTCTGTAGTACTGCATTCGATACCTTGAAATCATCTTTTGTTTCTGTTTTTCTAGCTTCATAGCAATAAATTCTCTCCCACACCTCCCATCCCCCCATAAAATGTTCAGCTGGGCATGGTGGTGCATGCTTGTAATCTCAGCACTCTAGAAAGCCAAGATAAGGACTGTAAGTTTGAATTTAAGGTAGGCAACTTAATAGCTTAGCAAAACCCTCTCAAAACAACTAAAAAAGGGATGGGAGTATAGCTCAGTGCAAAGGCCCTGGATTCAGTCCCTACCCAGTACACAAAATCAGTCCATCAAAATCCTTTTCCTCTTTATAGGTAAAAATTACTTGATACCTAAGATTTACTTTAAAATAATGTTTCTCATAGTTTAATGTGCATAATTGTTTGAGTAATAAGATTCAAGAGGAAATTACTATATCAGGCTCTCTAATATACTTTGAAGTAATAGCTTCCTTATTCAAGAATCATACATAAAGCCAGGGCTATAGCCCGGCGGCACAGTGCCTGCCTGGCAAGGCTGAAGTCCTGAGTTCAATTCCTGGTATCAAAAAAAAAACAAGAAAAAAAAGTTGCTCGTTTCCTTTTTTTTTTAACTTGGCTGCTTCCCAACCCTCCTTCAAAGTCTCTTGCCATCCAGCTAAGTTATCATTGTATCCCTAAGTTTAACCAGGTTGTTCTTACTTTGCCAGAAGATGTGGTTTTTTTTCAACTTCTATTTTTATGATATGATTGCAGCACATAATGGATTACTTTCCTCCGGTGAAGCTAGTTTATATGCATAGCACATCTTTTTTTTTTTTTTTATTCCCTTTTGCAAAAGATCTGTCTCCCTGTTTCCTATTGCCTATTTTTTATTTTGATCTATTTTATTTTTTGGGTTTCTCATATAAGAGACACAAGTCCATTATGTATAAATATCTCATTTTCTTTATTCATTCATCTGTTGATGGACATATGGGGTGCTTCCAAGATTTAGCTATTAAGAATTGTCCTACAATCATGAGTATGCATGCATCAGCATGACTTAATTTTATCATGAAGGGGTCAAATGGAGTTTCTATTTGCAGTTTCGTGAGAACTTTCCATACTGCTTTCCATGGTGGTGGTACTAATTTATATTCCTAACATCCATGCAGAATGGTTTCTTTTTTCCCAGAAGCCTTGAAAGCATTTATTATTTTGTTTCTTGGTAACAGTCATTCTTTTGGCAGTAAGATGTAATATAAGTGTGTTAATTTGAATTTCTCTAATGGCCAGAAATGTTGAACATTTTTTCATGTTTTAGCTATTTGTACTTCTCTTGAGAAGTGTCTATGTCAGTTGCCCATTATTTGATTGAATTTTTTATTTTGGGAAGTCTAATTTCTTTGAGTACTTTATATATTCTAGATACTAGTTCTTTATATGAGGAATAGCTGGCAAAAGCTTATTCCCATTCTGTAGATTGCCTGTTCACTCTGTTGGTTGTTTCCTCCACTGTACAGAAACTTTTTAATTGGATGTGATCCCATTTGTTGGTTCTTGATATTATTTTTTGTACAAGTAGGGTTCTATTCAGAAAGTCTTTGCCTATACCTGTGTCTTTAAGAGTTTTACTTATCTTACCTTCCAGGAGATTTTTTCTGTTTCAGTATTTCGACCTTTGATCCATTTTGATTTTAGTGTAATACATCATGAGAGACATGAGTCTAGATTCAATCATCTGCATGTGAGTAGTTAGTATTTCCTGCATTTTATGTATTTGATGACTTTTGTCAACGATCAGATAGTTAAATATACCTGGAGTTATTTCTATGTCCTCTGTTCTGTTTCTGATTTTAGAGGAAAAGCTTTCAGAGTTTCCCCATTTACTATGATATTGACAGTAAGTTTGTCATAAATGGCATTTATCAGATTGAAATATGGTCACTCTTAAACCTATTTTATTCAGAGTTTTAATCATGACTGGATGTTGGATTTTGTCAAAGGCTTTGTTGCCTTTACTGAGATAGTCATGTGATTTTTGTTCTTGCTTCTGTTTATGCATTATATTTATCTTATTTGTTGAACCATCTTTGCATGCCTAGAAACCTACTGGGTCATTGTGTATGATCTTTTTGATGATCTGTTGCATTCTGTTAGAGTACAGTGGTACCTTGGTTCACAAATGCTTTTGTTTGCAGTTTGGTTTGCAAAAAAAAAGAAGCATTTGGCAAAATTTTGTTTTTGTTAGCAAATTCTACCTCATGCCTCCATAGCCATCTTTCCCACACAAACACAAATGTAGCCACCTTTTCCAAAATTGTAGAACAAAATCTTTCTTTAAGGGTGTTTCTCATCTGTGTTCATTAAGAAGATTGCCCTGTAGTTCTCTTTTCTTCTTAATCTCCCAAGTCCTACTTTACCCTATAGACTTTTTCTTAGCTATGCCAGCCAGTAAAATAATCTCTTGTATTTTATGCAATTCTGACATTCTCTTGGTTTTTCCAGGATGATTCAGCTCTACCCTCAATTTTATCGTCACCAGTTTTGCTCATTAATTGCATTACGTGTTAAAGCTTTGTTGTACTCTAGCCAAAAAACTCTGAATTTTTGCAGAACCTAAAATGGCTGTACAACTTCAGTAACTATTGTAGATTATTTAATTTATAAATCTTTTGGAGTTTGCTAAAAATGTATCTGTAAATTAGTAAATCTAATTTCTTTTTCTGAAATTTCAGGTTCGTGATGCAGAGAGCATTATGTTGAACCTTGCTGGACAGCTCATCATGATGCAGAGGGACAGGTCTGGCCCTCAAATTCGGGACAAGGACAATAACCCCAACCAAAGGAAACTTGTGAGTACAGTCCAAGTCATTTCAGACATTAAGTTATAAGATTAGGTTGACAAGTAAAACAATTTAAGCAAAGTAATGCCTTAAGATTTAGAAACTCAGAAAGTACATGAAATTCATTTTAAGCCTTTGGCTGTAATGCTAAAGTGTCAAAGATAAGATCTCAGAATAATAAAACATCCTGTAGTCCAGATGTTAACAGCTTAGACGTTAGTTATAAATTGTAATGGGGAAAACAAGGATTGGTGATGTTCACAGGATTTCTTTATTGATTTCTTGTTTTTAGATTTAAATGTATTTACTTTGAAAGGCAAAAAACTGTTATTAACTCTAAATTAGTTTTTTTTCCTCAGAAATTGTACTGTCATTTTGAAAAACACAGTAAACTAGTATTTAGGAACTTAAGAACCTATAAATTTAATAGGAAAAAAACCTGATCCTTCTCTTTTCTTCTTCAGCTGCCATTCTGTCCTCCTGTTGTACTAGCTCAGTCTGTTGAAAATGTCTGGACTGCATGTCGAGTGAATAAACAAAAACGTCACCTTCTGGAAGCACTCTGGCTCAGCTGTGGTGGTGCAGGGATGAAAGTCTGGCTTCCTTTGTTCCCTAGGGATAACCGCAAGCCACATTCCTTTTTGTCTCAGCGGATCATGCTGCCTTTCCATATCAATATATACCCCCTGGCGGTTCTGTTTGAAGATGCATTGGTCCTTGGTGCTGTCAATGACACTTTACTGTATGATTCTTTGTATACCCGCAACAGTGCTAAGGAGCAGCTGGAGGTACTCTTCCCTTTCTGTGTCGTGGAGAGAACCTCTCAGATCTACCTCCACCACATTCTACGTCAACTTCTGGTCAGGAACCTTGGGGAGCAAGCCTTGCTCTTGGCTCAGTCCTGTGCTGCATTACCTTACTTCCCTCATGTGCTGGAGCTCATGCTCCATGAAGTGCTGGAAGAAGAAGCTACCTCACGGGAGCCCATTCCCGACCCGCTGCTTCCCACTGTGGCAAAATTTATTACTGAGTTTCCCCTCTTCCTACAGACAGTTGTGCATTGTGCCAGGAAGACTGAATATGCACTATGGAATTACCTTTTTGCAGCTGTTGGAAACCCTAAGGACTTGTTTGAAGAATGTTTGATGGCTCAGGATTTGGACACAGCTGCCTCTTACCTTATTATTTTACAGGTAACAGTTCTCTTCTTAGAAACAAGAATTAGAAAAATCCTCTATTGACAGTATAATTACGTTTAAAGAGAATAGTCAAGGTTTTCTCTTCAGTTTATATCTTTTTATTTTGAAGAACTCAGTATTGTCAAGTGATCATAAGGTTGTTCGAATACTGTAAAAGAGCATCACAAAGGTATTTTTTTGTTTATAAATAAGGCTAACACTGACTTGCAAGTATTATTTTAAATACTATTGAAAAAATCTTATTGTATGTTATAATACATACACTATGTCCATATTATGTAAGAAATATTACATTTATTTACTAAAATGTAAGAATAGTGAATGTTTAAACATTAGTGCATTTCTCTAAGCTTCACATTATAATTCATTTCTGTATTGTGAGGAATTGCTGAGGGGATACTCATTAGACTTGGGTTATAACCAGACTTAGGGTAGATTCCCAAAAACAAGGTGAGAAGGTTCAGGCCTCCCCCAGTAATATCTCTCGTTTATAACTCCCCCCCCACTTATCATCTTCAAAATAATAGATTGAGGGTTTGTTATTCCTATGAGACTGATAGCATTCTGATAGGCTACATAAACATTCTTTCAAATTACAGAAAAATTTTCATTGATATGTAAGAAATTAACCATAAATCTGATGCAGATTTCTTAACAGCTTATTTGCTTCATGACAGGTAAATGAAACCAGGGGAGTTAGTCAAGCAGAAACTAATAGCCATGGGATTCTATAATTTCTTAGCTAGCCCTAAAGAAAAAAATCCACAGAATTATAAAAATGGAAAAGAATGCATGAATCTGTTTGTTAATTTTTGCAGAATTAGGTATTGAGCCCAGAAATACCTAAGGTACATTCCTGACCCTTTTTACTAAGTTACCTAGATTGTCCTCAAATTTAACAGGCCTCTTAGCCTCCTGAGTAGTTGGGACTATCACTGTCCATTGCTATGCCCATCTAGCCACTGTTTTATTTTCTTTTTTTTGTTTTTGTTTGCGTCACATCTTAGTCCTTCAGTGATCTCCCTATTAATGGGATTAGAAACGTTTTCGCCAGCAGAATTCCTTAGTTGCTCTGAGGTGGCACATAGTAATTACAGTCAAATTCATGTATTAGGCATCTTTCCATGAAAGTCAATACAGGTAGTAAGGTTGAATTTATGAAAGAAACATTGAGGATGCTAAATGTGTAACAGTACTACTATATTCCAAAGCAAAGATTTTAGTCACATTGCTTAGAAAACCCAGTCCTTGAAGGTAGACTTAAAGGTTTTTTTGGAGTCAGGCAAGGCAGATTTATATTCTTGCTTTTCTGCTGATCTTCAGCAATTTACAAAAGTGAATTCCCTCACCTTTAAAACAAGATACACCTAATTTACACAATTGAAAGTAGTAAATAATGTATATAAAGTACATGGCATATAATGAGAATTCAGCGACTCATATTCATATTATACAAGCAGAGTACTTACTGCACTTTCCTTTTTAGTGCTGCTTTTAATAATATTATTAAACTAACCCATACAGTATTATATCTGCATCCCTTGGGTTTAGGGAATTGTCGACAACAGAACAGCTCCTGTCTTATCAAATCCTGTAGTATAAAAGGAATACAGTCTTCCTTGGTTGTTTCTTTAGAATATGGAAGTCCCAGCAGTAAGCAGGCAACATGCCACCCTTCTGTTCAACACAGCGCTAGAACAAGGCAAGTGGGACCTGTGTCGACACATGATTCGATTTCTTAAAGCCATTGGCTCTGGAGAATCTGAGACACCTCCATCTACACCTACAGCTCAGGTTAGTTGCAGAATTGTTTCTTCAGACCATACATCTGTAAGGCATTTCCGTCTAACCATATTGCATGTTTTATCTTAGGAACCCAGTTCAAGTGGTGGATTTGAGTTCTTCAGGAATCGAAGCATCAGTTTATCCCAATCAGCTGAAAATGTTCCTCCTAGTAAATTCAGCTTACAGAAAACACTAAGTATGCCATCTGGTCCTTCTGGAAAAAGGTAAAAAAAAAAAAATCGAAAACCATTACTACTTTTAGGACAACTGTGAGACATTGCATTTCAAGGCATTTATATAAAGTCTTATGGAAACAACTATTTAACCCAACTGCAAACCCTTTATTGGTTACCAAAAGACACAGGGAGCCCACAGAAGGATTCCCTTTTCCTTCCCACTAAGTTCACTTCTGTACCCTGTGTGCAATTTCTGCACCTTTTTATTGGAGTACATCTTGACATACTTGTTCTAAATGCAATTACTATTGATCACAGAAAATGAAATTAAAAAGGAAGACAGATATGCAGATAATCCACAAAGCTTCAAGTTTTGTCCTTGTTCTAAGACAAAAAAAAAAAATGTAGTGCGCATGCATTTGATTGTCATGTGACTTTTTTTTTTTTTTTTTTTAAACCAGAAATCAACCTTATTACTGCAGTTGCACTTACCAGGCAGGCGCTTGTGCACTGGGGCTAAATCCCTAGCCCTCATGTGACTATGATTAGCGAAGTCATTTAACAGCAAGTCAAATGAATTATATTCTGAAATGCAATATTGACTTTTTATCTAGAGATTTGTTATTGTCTCTGAGAAGGCAGATATAGTTTCCTCTGGTTTGTAAGGTCCTTACATTCTTTACTATGTTGTTACATGTCCTTTGTCTCGTTCTTTTTTTCCTCTTCTTTTGTTTGTATTTTTATTAAAGTACGAATGTTTTGCAATACTAAGAATTAAACTCAGGGCTTTCACATTGAGCTGCATCCCTGACCCTTTTTTTTTTTTTGAAAGAGGGTTTAAGTCGGCTACGCTAGGCTTGATCCTCAGTCTCCCAAGGTGTTGGAATTACCAGTGTGTTCCACCACATCTATCTATGAACATTTTTCAGTGGGATATTTTGCTGGTTTCTCTTATCACTAGCCATTAACACCCACCTCTGACACCAATACACGTAATAATTTCGGGATTTATACACGTAAAATGCAATTATAGATGGCAATAAACAGTTGCCAGGTAATACCCTAGCAATTATTTGCTCAGCCATACCCTGAATTTAAATGTAGGCTAATAACTTACCACATGGTCATTTTACGCCAGGTACTCTTACAAGCATCTACGTGTATAGAGTTTTTTTGTTTTTTTGTCTTTTCATCGGTACCAGGGATCGAACTCACGACTGCCTGCTTGCAAGGCAGGCGCTTATGCCGCTGAGCTAAATCCCCAGCCCAAACATGTATAGAGTTTTTAATCCTTACAACTGTGTGTGTATGGGAAAAGAAACATAGGTTCAAAAAAATAAACTTGGTTACATTCTCAGAAGTCATGGTTGTTATACATGAACCCAGGCAGCTCTGCTTCAAAGATTGTGATCTTTATTGTCCAGAGCAGTGGCTTTCAGGGAGGAACCATATACCCTAGACCATCAGATGAGCAAGAGATGAGAGACTGGGTTTAATTATCACTAACTTTTTAATTAGTTTTATTTTCATATGTCCACATAACTCATATGGAAATTTAATTTCACTGTTTATCTCTTTAATTTCTTTCATGTAACCGCTTCCCTTCTTTTCCTAGGTCTTCAATTACAACATTCATTGCTTCTTTCTTTCTGTTAATCATTCACTGTCCTGTCCTACTACAGCTTCTTTTGTCCCATTTTTTTCGTATTCCATTTGATCATTCTACAAATCAGGTTATGTTTCAGGTGTTCAGCAGGTCATGTTGTCATGTGCTGGAGAAACCCTGGGACTTTTCTTCCCCTTCAGACAATATTTAATAATGGATCTCTTACCTCCTTGTCAGCTTAATCAGTGCATAAATCAAAGGATCTATTGCTTTCCTGTTTCTACTTACAGATGGAGCAAAGATAGTGACAGTGCTGAGAACATGTACATTGACATGATGCTATGGAGACATGCTCGGCGTCTCTTAGAAGATGTGCGATTGAAGGACCTTGGCTGCTTTGCAGCCCAACTAGGCTTTGAGCTGATTAGTTGGCTATGCAAAGAACGCACCCGTGCTGCCCGAGTAGACAACTTTGTGATCGCCTTGAAAAGACTCCACAAAGATTTCCTTTGGCCATTCCCCATCATCCCAGCATCCTCTATCAGTTCTCCTTTCAAAAATGGAAAATACAGAACAGGTAATATAGACTACTTGACACTTTTACAAGGAGAATTGTATTCTACTACAAATACTTAGACATTTTACTTTTAGTCGAAATTCAAAAAAGTTTTTCACTCCAAATTCAAGCCACGTAAAGGTAGCTTTTTGTATAACATTTAGAATATTCACCATTTGACCAAAGATTAATGAAACAGAACATTTGTCTCTTACTCCTTTGATCTGAAAGTCTCATTCATAAATTTAACCATTGTTATCTTACATTATAAAGAAGTCAAACTAGCAGAACTAGCTGAAGTTAAACCTGCCATACTGTATTGTGGGAAGAAATTTTATAATACATTAGTCACTGACTTCAAATTAAGCTGCATTGTGATTTACTGGACAGAATTCATTCCAAGAACATAGTAAAAATTATTTCTGGATCCTCAGATTCATAAGCGTGATGATTGGGTGCTCATGCCCCATGCATGACATGTGCCTCCTTTGAACCTTGTGACGACCTCGGCACATTACTCATCTGACGTAAAAAAAAAAAAAAAAAAAAAAATTATTTCTGATAGCTAGACCCATCTCTTCTAAACCAGGAAAAGTCAAAGTGAAATTGCATATTTAAGTATAAAACAAATTAAAAGATAGGATTTTTTGAAGTCAGGTCCTTTACGGAGACTGTTGATTCATTTATGAAAATTTAAAAAATTATTATGATATGTGGAAATTTCATATCCTTTAAGAACCAAGATAAATCATGTATCAGAGTAAAGATTTGCCTAGTTATAGTATGACATATAGTATAATTATTAGATGGCATTATATGATCTGTATATTTGTTAGAATTCCAGATCCCTAGTTTGGGGGCATGTGACACAATGTAGGATAGCAGCTGGCTTTAAATTGCTAGTATAGTTTTAGGCAGGTGAGATAAAAGAACTAAATAGGAAAAGGCAATGAGTGCATCCTGAATTTCTCGTTTGTTCTTGCATTTAACCTACAGTGGGAGAGCAGCTGTTGAAGTCTCAATCAGCTGACCATTTTATAAACCTTGAGATGGATACTGGTGTCTCTAACATCCAACGGAGTCAGAGCTGGCTCAGCAGCATTAACCCAGCCCATCATGAGATAGACACAGCTTTATCCCATGGACCACAGATGCAAGATGCCTTCTTGTCACCTTTATCTACTAAAGGTAAGGGCCATTTTGTCCTGGCTCTTCAGATTTTTTAGGAAAAGTCTATGTGTCATCATGTTTCAGGCATCACTCTTTTCAGCATGCTGAAGGGTTGGTGTATCTACTAGGATACAGTCACAGGAGCAGCAAAATCCTTCACTACTTTGGTGTATGTATTTTACATATGTGAATTTGGTAGAATCTCATGCAGATCAGCATTATTAGGCAGACCTTTGCAATCAAATTTCTTTTGAGATAAGATCTTGCTAAATTGTTTAGGCTGGATTCAAATTCACAGTTCTCCCACTTTAGCCTTCTGCATTATTGGGACTACAGGCATAGACCATCTTGTCTAGCTCCTTTTGCAATCAATTTTTGTAATTAGAAAACACTAACTTTGAACTCTGAATAAGCAAATGTGATCCTCACATAAAAACATCCATTCTTTTCATGTAACTTGATCCCAGGGGCTCCTGTTTACTAGACAGGAACTTTAGATGACTAAGCCCCAGGACTTTTCAGAAAAAAACCTGTTCTTTTCATGTGGGCCTGTCTCATAAAAAAAGTTTATTCCATTATCATTTTTTGTTTCATCAATAAAATTATATGGAAATTTGCTTATTCTCTTATTATATGTAAATAAGTTTCTACATATTCTTGATTTTGCCACTTGACCTTCAAAGTCTAGAAGAGTTACTATCTGCCCATTTCCAAAAGTTGTACCCCAATCTCTGCTCTGTAGTAAGGGTAAATTAACATTAGAGGTTTTGAAACAGTTTATGTGGATATAGGATTATAAAATTATAGGTGCTTTTAAATAGTAATTTGTTTCATAAAAAGATGTATTTTTTTATAGTGGCGTACTACTCAGCTATAAATGATTTTTATAAGTACCTAGATGCAGCTAGAGACTACAATCATAAGTAAAATAAATCAAACTCACATGTGTAAACACTGTATTGTCTCCTTTGTGTAAGAAACTGAAAGATTAATATTCAAAAGGTACAACAGACATTGTGAAAGTGAATGACTGCAGTTTTTTGATGCTTATTTTCTAAATGTTTGATCAGTCCATCTTCACTGCCACCTGACTTTCCGCCATGTGACTCACATCAGCCCAACTCATCATGAGATAAATGCTGCCATTACTTTTTAACTGTAAAATATTTTACCTTCTTACGTTTTAAGTACATATATATCAATAGTGTTGACTATGCCCCTTTGTCATCTACTACAATACTTTGTCTTACAAAAGCAAAACTCTTTGTATATGTCATCTAATAACAGTTCCCCATTTTCCCCCATTCTGAGCTATTGGCAAACAAATTCTGTTTTCTGTCTATGAATTTGACTTTTCTGAGTATTTCATATAAGAAAATCATAGAGTATTTGTCTTTTGGACACTGGCTTATTTCATTTAGCATATGTCCTCAAATTCATTGATGTTACTGTATGTAAAGTTTCCTTCCCTTTAAGTCCACATATTACTCCATTGTATTCATATACATTTTGTTTCCTTCTCTGTGGAGAAATGCTTGGGTTCCTTCTGTCTTTTGACTGTTGTGAATGGTGCTAACAAGAACACAGATACACAGATACCTACCTCTGACTCTTGCTTTCAGTTCTTATGGGTAAATACCCAGAAACTGTATTACTGGATCACATGGAAATCTACTTATAATTACTTTAGAAATTGCCAAACGGCTTCCCATAACAAATGTACTGTTTTACATTCCCACCAGTACCATCATGGTTTAGATTCCTCCACATTCTTAAGGAACACATATTTTGATTTTTAATAGCAGCCATCCTTAAAGATGTGAGGCGGTGCTATTACTGCTTTTAGAGAACTTTTCTTAGGGATAATTACAAACATATTTAAAAAGTAGAGAAAATAGTGTAGTAGACAACTCTCATCATTCAGCTTTATTACCATGGCCAAAGATGTTTTTATTTACTACCCACCTTTATTATTTGAAGCACATACAAGATAGTTTACAGCCTACCAAGACCCTCTTAAAATAAAAATGTATTGGAGTCCGGAAGAACATGGCGGATAGATAGCAGCAGCCTCAGAGGCTCTCTGAGAAACCGCACTTGAAATCCAGGAATGCTGCCAGGCAGGAAGTCCTAGGCAAGGGGGGATATTCTTTGCCGACCCAGAACTAAATTAAGAGAAACTAACTGGAAACGCAATCCCGGTGATACAGCAGCAACAGATAAGGTTTCAGCACAGAAGCCAGACCCCGCACCACTGGAAACTACAATTTGAATTTCCTGCAGCCACGGTTGCGTCCCGGTCGGCACAGCAGGGAGAGAGGCACAAAAGCTCAAAGAGTGAGAAGCGCTGAATGGAGTTAGGAGCGGGGCTGGCCAGGTACCCTGCATCGACCTGCGGTGAATGAGCAGATCGGGACCCTTCCATAGAGAAGGAGGCTTCAGCGGAGGACATACTCGGACTGGGCAGACTTCCCGGAACGAGATGCTGCAGTGACTTCAGTCACATATCCCCCTCTCAAGCGGGATTGTTGAGGAGTGCTTGGCCAGCAAGATGCCGTTGGCTGAGACCCAGTAGGCTAGCCCAACCCAGGCCCCAGCGCTTGGAGGTGCACTCTAGCATTAAAGCCTTCGGTAGGCTCAGGGGCGGGCCGGCATAGACTGCCCAGGTCTGTGTCTCCCTGGTGCACTGCGGTGGGCGGAAACACCTAACCGGCACAATTCAAACAGACTGTGGCCAACAGGGAAGGAAGCTGGGCCTCCTATATACGTTTATATATAAGGAACAAAGAATATGGGAAGAGAGAGCAATAAGAAAGGGTCCTCAGCCCCCAATCCTGAGAAACATGCAATAGCAGACACAGCACCAATAGACATAAAGCGCTATCTCCAGAGCCTCATAGACAAGTTCAGGAATGAAGTTATTAATGACCTGAAGCAAGACATAAGCAGAATAGTTACAGAAATGCTAAGCACCGCCCAAGAAAAAACAGATGGTAGAATGGAAGAACAGAAAAAGGGAGAATTGTTTGATGGAGAAAATAGAGAAAGCATAGAATACATGAAGCAGGTTCAAAGAGATTACCAGGAAACTAAAACTCTATCGAAAGCTGGCATAACAGCTTGAAAGAAACTAAGGATAGATTATCTGAACTGGAGGGCAGATTTGTAATATGGGAGCATGAAATGAAAAACTTAAAATAACAAAAAAACAAACAGCAACAATACAAAAGCTAGAAGATGATAAGAGGATCTATAACTTAAGAACTAAGAACATAAGAGAAGAAGTGGGAATACAAACAAATGGACTACAAAAGCTATTCACAGAAATAATCCAAGAGAATTTCCCTAATTTAGCAAATGGTAAAGATATTCAGATATATGAGGCATACAGGACTCCAGCCACCTACAACGCAAACAGAGCTACACGCAGACATATAATAATCAAAATTCCAGGAATCCAATATAAGAACAGAATATTAAAAGCCATCAGAGACAAGAAACAGATCACTTACAAGGGAACACCATCAGAATTACAGCAGACTTCTCAGCACAAACCATCAAATCACGAAGAGTGTGGGGGGAAATAATTCAAGCTTTGAAAGATAATAATCTCCAGCCAAGATTGAGATATCCTGCACAACTGTCCCTGGAAATTGATGGAAAAACAAGGTGCTTCCAGGATAAAGAAGAACTAGGGGAATTTGCAACCATTAATTCAACTCTATAGAGAATACTGCAGGATAGTCTAAAAAAGGAAAATACCAAGATTCCAGAAATAGTGGCAGAGAGGCCACAATGAATGGAGCAGAAAACGAAATGAAGAAGACAAACTGACAACAAATGACAGAAAAAGAGCTCAACAGAAATGAGGCAGAGATCAGATGGTAGGAACAGCCATTTTGGAGAAAACGACAGCCTAATAGCTAGTGCTGATTTAGTATCATCTTGTTTTGAAGTCCCATCAAACTTGTATTCTTCTGTCTCCATCTGTCTTAAAAGGTTGTATCTTATTGGACTTTATTATATATGATAATATAAGCAAAAACTTTTACAGACAAGGAGTTTATATAGAAACCATTGTTCATTTTCTGTTAATTGGTTCTAAATACCCTGTAATAATGTCATTCTCTTGAATGGTTTTATAGTGTCTTGATATGTTTGGTGCTATAGTATACGAAGTTATACTCAAAGATTTCAAGGAAAGAGACATTGTGGTAACTATTTTTATGTCAGGGTATCTTGTGGTGAAACACTGTTTTGCTCAAATGGTTATGATTTGACCTGCGCTGTTCTGTTGTTATGCCCTCTTTTATCTCAATCCCCTTTTTTAAATTATTTACTTTATTTTTTTAATTAAGGGAAAAATAAAAATAGCAGGATACATTATAGTAACCTACTATGATTTCCTATTAACTTGATTTGAAATCCTGTATTGCCCTCACCATCTTGTTTTGAGTGATTTTCCTCTATTCTGCTTTGCTTAATAGTACCAAGTTTGAAAGTATAGGCATAACTGTGAAGACAATAAGAATCATTATGACTCCCATTCCGGTTGACTATTATTTTCTTTTAAAATCCTGTAATGTCTCCAATGCTTTGGTTTTATTCTTTAGTGTTTAGTTCAATTTTATTGTAACTGCCAATTCTTCTTAAAATAGCAAGAGGCAGTATGGTAACCATTGTTGATCACCTTATATTTTGTTTTTACATTATCTATTATGTCCATCCTTTTGATTTGACTAACTCTGTTTTGATGTGTCGCATTTGGTTTTACTCTCTTCAAAAAAAGTAATAAGAACTGTGGGAGTAATAAAACCCAAAATGTGTAATTGTCATTGTACAAAAGCAAAGAAAGTGCTCTAAAGGTTATAACTTCATATATGTTTAAGTGTATAAGATAGATAACCATATTACTGAGTGTTTTTTGGAACATTGAACAAAACTGTTTGCACTCTCACTGTTTGAAAGTCCACTTTATATACTTCAATTTTGTAACTTGAACAACTATTTCTAAGATGACAATTTGTAATCTATTAACTAGTGATTTCTTACTGTTTATCTTTTAAATTTAGTATTACTTGTACCCCTTTTGTTTTTTCCCTTTTTCTCCTTAAATAAAAAATATATTATCATTCTTTCTAAAAAGTAATTCCTTAATACCATAAATATCTAGTAATTTCCATGTTTCATAAATGTCACACTTTTTTACACATTGTATAAATTTTCTTTTTAAATGATTGTCCTCTACCCACATATCTTTCTCCCCCTTGCAATTTATTCATTGAGAAAACTTGATTCTGTGGATTTTGCTGATTGCCTCCTCATGAGTTAGTTGAACAGTTCACTGTGTGTTTCCTGTAAATGGTAGCTGAGTCTAAAAACTTGGTCAAACTGTAGCTATATTTTGTGGGGGAAAGTAAGGAAGACTGCTTATTGGTAGCAGTAAGTTTTTCTACCCCAGAGTATGTGATGTCTGTTTCTAGCTCTGCTGATTAAAAAAAAAAAGTACTATGCGTACAACAGGGCCATTTTAGCAGAATGTTCTGATTTCAAAATCCTGAAGTGAAATCCGTGTCTGAGGAATAGCTAATAAAATTAGAAGAAAATGTATTTTATACAAGAAGGTAATTTATAACTTTTACAAATTCATCAGGTGATGAATGCAGCATTGGTTCAGCCACAGACCTGACTGAAAGTAGCTCCATGGTAGATGGGGACTGGACAATGGTGGATGAAAATTTCTCCACACTCAGTTTGACCCAGTCAGAATTGGAGCACATCTCCATGGAATTGGCAAGTAAAGGACCTCATAAATCCCAAGTCCAGCTGCGGTGAGTTTCTTGCATTTGAAAGCACAGAAAGCTACTCGGCTTTTGTACAAAAGGGGTACAAAAGCCACTTTCCTAATAATCACTATAGGCACTTTTCAGCATAAATATTTTATTTTTTCTATAGGTATTTGCTACACATTTTCATGGAGGCAGGATGTCTGGACTGGTGCATCGTCATAGGCCTGATTCTTAGAGAATCTTCAGTAATCAATCAGATTTTGGTTATTGCACAGTCTTCAGAAGTAGATGGAGAGATGTTACAGAACATCAAAACAGGACTATATGCAGTGGACAGATGGGCCTCTGCCGATTGGTAAGTGCTGGTTCCCAGAAGCTTGTTATCCTTTGGTGAGTCCTATCCTTTCACATCAAGGCTTATAATTCACTTACTTTGGATATTTTTTAGGTAGTTAGAAATAAAAAATTTCATACACACACACACACACACACACACACATATCAAGGCTTATAATTCACTTACTTTGGATATTTTTTAGGTTAGTAGAAATAAAAATTTTCATACACACACACACACACACACACACTCTCTCTCTGAGAATTAAAACCCGGGACCTCACAGGTGCTAGGTAAGCACTGTGCCGTTGACCTTCATCCTTGGATTACAGATATGTTCCACCATGTCTGCCTCTTACATTCACTTTTAAGGTTGCTCTCTTAAGTAATTGTTTTGTTCTCAACATTTGAATGAATAATGTCCATTAAGTAAAATTTAGAGTGGTAATTAGTGAATTTGTCACTGTCTTAAGGTGATGCAGTATAAAGGATCTTCAATAAGTCTGCAATTTAAATTTGTAGTTCTATGAAACTGAAGGTTGTAATAAAAATGTCTGCTTGCAAAAAAGACAAGTTACAGTCCGTGTGAATTTAAAGTAATAGGTGGAAGTTCAGAATCTTGGACTCTGGCCTTGTCTCAATCATCAGTATAGATTTAGGGCTATTCATTTCCCTTAGTTAGATCTAGTTTTCCTTATTTGGTAGATGTTACATTTTTAATTAACACTTGTTTTAAAGTATCAGTATAGCTCAAAAACTTAAATCCAGCACAGCTTCTTCTGGGCTGGATAGGGAATACAAGAAGTCTTCTCTCCTCATGAAATGTTACTTCTCTCACTGTACCAAGTGTTTACTAGAAATATATCCGTAACATTTTGTTAAGTGTTTTGAATTACAGCATGAGAACTTAATTTTTTTCCCTCTCCTTAGCCCTGGATATAAGCCATTCTTAAATATCATTAAGCCACAACTGAAGAAGCTCAGTGAGATAACAGAAGAGCAAGTCCAACCTGATGCCTTCCAATCAACAGTAGTGGGTAAGACTCCTGAACAGACTAGCCCCAGGGCAGAGGAGAGCAGGGGATCCTCCGGCCATGGAAGTATCCCCCAGTGTGAGGTTGGGGGAAGCAATATAGTTACCCGAAAAGAAGAGGACACAGCCCAAGCAGAAGAAGAGGAACCATTTCAGGATGGGACTTACGACTGTTCAGTGTCCTAACAATAGTAAGTAACATCACAGCAGGCAGTATTAATTAATTAGCAGCAGTGTGTAACTGAGTACACTGTGATCTTATTGAATGATTTAAAAGGGGAGAGAACTCAACTCATAGACTCTTTGGGTAAAGTATTACATTTTAATAAACTAAGAAATCTCTTGGACTCAAAAAAAAATGTGATATCAAATAAAAACACCTTTCATTAAACTTTTTAAAGCTGCAGTGGAAATAAAGACTGTTGTAAAGGTTAACATTTTTGTTCAAAGTTTGGTAGATTATAATGTAGGGATAGTTTTGTTCTGGGTGAGCTTACTTTTTCATATCTTAAGAGTTTTGTATGTGTTTTATGGTTCAGCATGTGTCTAGAACTTTTTTTAAAAAAATAAATGCTAAGGTGCTTGCTATAGCTCATTGAGCACTTGGAGCTACCTGTTTGCTTCCTTGGATAGAGCTCACTGGACTCCCTGTTTGGTCCTATGAATAGATACCTATCCTTGCACTTAGGCTAGTGCAGTGGAGACATTCTCTTTGGCTTTACTAGCCTCTTAAATCCCAGACCTGAATTGATGAAAGCTTATTTACCTGTCAGTTAACGTGCCTGTTTTAGCAAACTTGATTCCTACTAGATCAATGTAGGCAGTGGTATGAAGGGTTATCAATTATGCTGATACCACTATTTTGTATCAAAAAACTATACCTTTTTGTAAATGCTCTTATGTATATACTCAAAGGCACTGTTCATATTTTTAAGGCTTGTATTATATTTTGTTAGGTTTTATGCTGGATTTTGCATGAGTATAGATAAATACTCTCTGAATAAAGACAGGGCTTCCATTTCCTTCCAGAAATGAGCAGCCTTCATAATGGAAGACAGATTTAATGGCTTGGTCATAAAGTAATGGAAATGGTCCCAATGATCATGAAATCGAACAGGTTTTGTTCAAATTAATCTTTATTTATTGCTTTTGTAAATTGGATAAAAATGGACTTTTATGTAAATACACAGCTGAATCCTGTATTATCACAGCTACTAAAATATGTAAATGCATTCTTCATTGTACTTTAAAAATATTTTATGTATTTCTAGATAAGGCTTAAATTTTAGTTTTCATACATTATGAAAACTGTACCACATGTTCCTTAATTGCTTCAGACTAAACACATATCCATTTATGTAATTGATTACCTAATAACAGTATTAATTTAGATAGCTTGTTTGTACTGTGCAATTTGAACAAGGAATGCAATGTAATTTTTTATAAAAACGTGTTTATTTTTATAACAATGTGTTAGATGTGGACCAAATTCGTACCACTATGTGATACAGCCTCTTTTCATAGTGCAGTTACAATTTAAAAATAAAACCTGGTCCTCTACCCTTGCTTTTTAAAATACATAGCTAGATTTAGTTGTCTGTACCAATTTTCTTTGAAGGGAAACTCAATCACTTTGAAATTGCTTATTTCAAAATTTATCAACTATTGAAAACAATTACTGAGTTTGGTAATTTACTATCATTTATTTTTTACATTACAAGTGCAATAACTTCACATAATAAAACTCCTAAATGGGTGGAATATGTGACTACTGGTACCTGGTTCTTCTGGTGCTCCTTTTTATTTAAATCTTTGGTTCAAACTACCTTTCTCTAAATCTTAAGATAAAAAAATAATGCAGTGCACAAAAAAACTAAGCTGAAATTTCTTCTCCTGTCCTAATCCACCAGAAGAAGAAACAGCATGACAGGTGTATTTAAAGTGAATATTCAGTCAATAAACATGATTTAGCATTTATAAAAAGTTGTGATCTTTTCAGATATCCTAAATAAAACACTGCTGAGCTTAATCTCACATTCTTGAAAGCAGGGCACCAATAAGTAAACATTATTTCAGTAGCTTAGGCTGTGAAACTTTTCTTCTATAAAATATTCATTTTTCCGTTAATAGAAATAGGATATCCTAAGGCAAGAAGTTTGGCAAGATCACAAAGAATTTTCCTCTATATATATAGTTTGTTATATATTTTAATTTTTAAAAGCTCACTTTATTTTGCTATTTCATATGATTAAGACACATAGAAACCATTTAAGCCATAATTTAACCAATGCACTTAAATACTCAGTGAACTATCTGAAGGTCACTAGATACATTTAAGTTATTTGCTGATACCAAAATAAGTCATGTGGGGGAAAAAGTTATGTGGGGATAGTCAGCATTCGCTTGTAATTAAAATTGCTGCTGCTTCTGTAATGTGTATTTTTTACTTGGTAAAGGGCAATAAAACCATTGTACAAACTTCTGTTTATTTATCATCTTAGGTTAACAACAAAAATTATAGGTATTAAAAGCCTCAAATATTCTGAGACATGGTTGGATTTACTTCATTTTAGTAATGAAGAAGACTTGTATGTGAATGTAGAACATTCACAAGAACATCAAGAGTTGGCAGCATCGTAAGTGCCTGATAACAGACTACTGTAATAACAGTTGTATTCATAGCATGGAAAATGTTCAAAATACAATAAAATGACAGAAAATTCTGCATACAATATGGTTTCCATTAAGCATATAAAATTTTATACTTTTAAGTGTATAAGAGATCAGATACCGTTTTTTTTTTTTTTTTGTACCAGAAATCAAATTCAGGATCTTATGTTTGCCAGGCAGACACTGCTGCTGAGTTGTATCACTTGCCCCAGATATCACCTTTTAATACACAGGATTACTACTGGTTTTCCTGCATTCCTAAATCTGATATTTTTCAACAGTCATCCTTGAAGAAAAAAAAAATGAAAAGGTCTTTTCTCTTTTAATCACTGGTATGCATGGATTCTTTAGTAGCCAATCTATGATACATGATTTGCAAAAATTTTGTCTTTTCTATCATCTTTTCATTTTGATTAATTTCATTTTTCAGTCTTTTATTGGTTATACAGATTAACAGGTTTCATTTTAGGAAGTTAGTAAATGCCAAGTTTGGTAACCACCCCCTCAATTATCCCCTTGTATCCCCCCCACCCCCTTTTCATGGAGGTATTTCAATGCATGTGTTTTGCTCATGTCTTCTATAATCACCATTATACCTTTCCTTTTCTCCATTTCCTTTCTCATGTCTAGTAGTCTATGATTTTTAGATTCAACATTGAAGAGAATGTCAGTTGTCTTAGTCTGCCTTATTTCACTCAAATGGATTCTTCTGGCTCGTCCACTCAATTTTTCTTTATGCCCAAGTAATATTCCCCCCTATGTATGTATATTCTACCGTTTTCTTTAGCCATTCATCTGTTGCTAGGCACTTAGGCTGGTTCCTTATGCAAACAGAATGTTCCAAGTTTGCTAACTTTAATGTCTTCAGTTATATACCAAGTAGTAATATAGCTAGCTCAAAAGGTACAGTAGTTCTATTTTTGTTTTTTGAGGACTCATACTCATTTCCACAGTAGCTGTACAAATGATGTAAAAGGGTTCCTTTTACCTTTGCATCCTTACTGGCATTTATTGGGGTTTTTTTTTTGTTTTGAGACTGGATTTCACTATACAGTTCAGGCTGGCCTCAAATTCTCAGGGATCCTCTTCCCTTAGCTTCCTGAGTGCTGTGATTACAGGAATATCAGTCTGACTGGGTGAGACTGAATCTTGAATTTTACAATTGATTAAAGATATTGAACATTTTTTTCTATACAGTATGTCCCACAAAGTCACAGTTCAGAGTTCATAGCTTCAGTCATTTGTGAATTTTGCTTTTCCTTAGAACCTAACTTTAGTTGTTTGCAGAAACCTCCACAATTTCATTGAAACCATAGACCTTCCACAGTGGTTTAGAGCACTGGTTTCCTTGTTGTTGACTGGCTGCTGTGGCAGATGCATCAGCATTCCAGCACCACAGCAGGTTGGAGAACTGTGCAGCTATTTCCATTGTTCTGTTTTGTTTTCAAAGTTCTAAGATCCCCAAAAGCCACCAGAATACCCTGCACATTCTAAGTCTTTACATAGCATTCTGTTTAAAACATGAAAATTGGCATTTATAGTCATTTTTTGTGACCATATCTTGCATTTTTATAGTTTGTGGATGCTCTAGGAACATAACCCCTATGCATTCCTGGGATCCACTGTACTACTTAGCCATTTTAAGCAAGTGAAGTGGAATCTTAATGTTAGCTAAAGATGTTGAACTCTTTTTTATATACTTACTGATCATGTGTACTTTTCAAGTTTTTCAACTTCATTATATATTCTAAGTATTCTGTAGGCTGTTTCTCAGTTATTTTCCTTGCTGGGCTGAAACTTAAAATTTGATGTAATCCCATTTGTTGATTCTTGTTTTTATCTTCTATGCTACTGGGGTTTCTATTCCATAAGTCTGCTTATGCCTATCTATGGCTTCAAGTGTTTCCTGTTTTCTGTTAGCAGTTGGAAGGTTTCAGAGGTTTTGGATCAATTTCTTAATTTTTTTGTAACAAGGTGAGATGGTCAGTTTGTCTTGTACAAGTGATGTCCAGTTTCCCCAGCACCATTGCTGTCTTCTCTCTAACATGTATTTTTGATTCCTTGGCGTGTGGATTTGTTTCTACATCTTCTGTTCTACTGCTGTACATACTCATTTGCATGCCAGTACCATGCTGTTTTTGTTACTGTGGTTTTGTAGTATAATTTTAGAAGTGATAGTATGATGCCTTCACACTTACTCTTTTTGCTTAGAATTGCTTTGGCTATTTGTTGGTCACGTTTCCATACAAGTTTTAGGATGTTTTCTAATTTTGTGAAGAATCTCATTGGTTTCTTGAGCTTGCATTATTGAATCTGTAGGTCACTTCTGGTAACAATGATCATTTTTACTATATTCTGCCAGTGCGTAAGCTTGAGGGGAGCCATGTGCTTTTCTTTAGCGTTGTGAGATTTTCATTATCAGGATCATTTACCTACTTTGTTAGTTTTATCTCTAGGAACTTTATTTGAAGCCATTATGAGGGGAATTGTTTTATAATTCTTTCTTAGGTAGTCGATTTTTGGGGTCTTTAGCTAGTCCTTTACTGGTATATGCTGAAGCTTCTTTTATAGTTGATTATATATCCTGCTACATTGCTGAATTCATTTATCAGCTCCAAAGGTCTTTAATAGTCTCTAGGGTCTTCTATAATTTGACTTCCTTTTTCTCTTACCTAATTGTTTCAGGTAAAACTCAGAATTGTACTGAATGAGTTGTGAGAGTAGACATCTTTGTCTTATTCCTGACCAATTTTTTTCCACTGGTTGCATAAGATTTTGGTGTCACAGCTAGGGGGGAAATGCCCAATTCAAATTATATCTTCTATGAATTTTATACTTTTTTGCTCATACATTTAGGTCTCTGATTCATTTTAAGTTACTTTATATGGTATGAAGTAGTGGTTTGACAGCATTTAAATGTAGGTATTCAGTTGTCTCAGCACTGTTTATGAAAAATATTTCCCATTATCAAAAATTATATAAATGTGAGGGTTTAGTATTGGTTTTAATTATAATCTATGCATTTATGGAATTCTTTCATTTTTGGATTGTGTATAGAAATACTGATTTCTGTATATTGATACTGAATCATTAACCACTGAAGCTAACTGTAAGGTTCTGTGTGTATGTTTGGCCTCCTTACAATTTTCTATATAGATGGTCATGTTATTTGCAACTACAGATGACTTTAGCTTCTTGTTTCTAATCTGGATGCCCTTTCTTTTGCAAAATTGCCCTGGCTAGAGTCACCAAGAAATAGAAACTGGCATGCTATCTTATCTTTTGTTTTTTCTGTTTATATATGATGTTCACAGATGACCTTAACCAAGTTAAATTCTAAGTTTGTCAAAGATTTTTTATCATGGAAAGATTTTAGATTTTGTAAAAAACAAAAAATTTTTTTGCATCTACTGAAGTCACCTAGTTTCTGTCCTTAATTCTACAAATATGGGCATGCCACACAGGTAAGTTTTCCAATGTTGAGCTTAGGGTAAATAAATGCTGGTTATGCTGCAGGGCCAATTTGAATAAAAGAAATTGTCAACATGTTTTGTCAGATTTTAATAAATCTGTATGGTTTTGACACAGTAAAAGACATAACAAGGCATAACCTTTATTGGACCTAAAAAAATGGAGGTATATCAGGAATGAAATTTTTTTTATCTGTTTGACTTTGTATTGAACTATTCTGAGGGAATTCGCTTAGAAAGCTTTAATTTTAGACACCTTTGGGTCAACCGCATGCTTTGTTTCTGCCCATCCCCTTGAGTGGAGAAATTAAGTAGTGGGGGTCACTGTGGCTGAAAGGTAATTTCTTCCCTCTGACCTACCCCTAAAAAAAAGGAGCATCATCCTTAATTATCCAGTTGATGATCTCATCCCCCAAGGGAGATGATTTAAAACTTCCAAATAAAGTTCACCACTTATGAAGTAAGTTGTTTTAATTTCTATAAAATTGAGGTGCATAATTTATTCAAGGTCAAAAATGATTCAAACTGATGGAAACATTTCCATGTTCAGTTTTTTGTTCATATCACTTGTTAAACGATACAAATAAGGCTGTGTAGACTTGGAATATGGGGATAAAACATAAGCAGTTAAAGATTTTTTAACAGATACCAACCAGTATATGAACTTTATTTCAGTAATATTATAAGGCAACAGTCCTAAACAAGTTCAGCAAACTAATGAAACAGACATTCACGCTTCCGTTAGCAGTCTGAGTAGCTCCCTTGGTTTGTAATATATTAGTGAATCCTGCCACGTTTAATAATATCTGCTAAATTATGGAAATACTCCATGCAACAATCACTTTTAAACATAAGAATTACTCTGAAATGACAGTTCTTCACACTTTCCCTGAATATGTAGTACTGTGCTACCTACATTATTTTCTACAGACTTTAACTCTGTTTATTAGAGTCTGAAATGACTGAGAAGTTAGTTATTCAAGTGGTCAAATGATCATACTTAATAGTGTACCCCACATGTCACTTGGGCAGCATGTATTATGCTGAGTGTTGCTTGGGAGGTATCATTCCAATCAGTCAATTCTTGCATTGAATAAATTTGATAAAATTGTCATTTTTATATTTCCTGTTATAAAAATTAAAAATATGCAATTTTTGGTCATCTTATATTTAAATAATTGGACTGAGGGCCAGGAATGTAGCTCAGTAGCATCTGCCTCACAGGCGTGAGGCCCTGAGTTCAATTATTGGTACCCAAAAAAAGAAAAAAGGGGAAAAAAACCACCAAAAAAACAGTACGTAATTGGGGTAAGTGGTCAAAAGGGTAGGACCTAACAGGTTTAATCTCAGAGACCACTGTGACATATTGTGTGCTTATTACAGAGCTATGAATACTACATGTAATTACCTGGCCATTTTTGACATTAAAATAACCTCCCAGATCCTAAGCATGCCATAAGACAAAGTGATCATCTTATTGCTAGCTTTGCAAAATATCAAAGCTTCATAATGCTATTCAACAGAATTATTTCACTAATCAACAGAATCATTTTGCACAGGCATATAACCAAAGGGAAAAAAGAAAACCATGATTATTGCTGAAATGACTTTCTTCCCAAAGGAAAGCAACTTGTTTTTCATATTTTTCCAACATGGTGCTTTACTTTTTCTGTAAATGTTTACTAATCTATTTCAGATTAATCACAAGGACAATACATGTTGACACACTAGTACTGTTACTTTTCTCCAAAACTCTGATTCTGTATAAACTATAAACCCTACAAAGCGTATCTGTTACAATACTGATACATTATGTAGCCAGAAACTTGAAGTACATGAGAGGGATAAAATACGGTTTCTACAAAAGTCCAGGAAAACAGTGCCTCCATTGTAAAATCTCAGTTCTGAGAGATGACAGCAGAATGCAAAATGTTATATCCAGCTTTTGTCAGACAAGTAGTTTTAGGAACATTTTCTCCTTTGATGCCCAATTATGCTGTTGCATCAAACAGATCTGAGAGCCTCTTTTTTAAGAAGCATTCCTCTTTTTTCTTAAAGTAGACTTCTCAGGTGATATGGAAACAAAAAACTAGGGCCTATAATACAAGCTCAAAATTTTTCAAACTTTTTATATTTCATTGTGGGAAAAACTTTAGCCTAATTTACCACTAATCTCACCAAATCCTATCACTGTTGGAACCTAAAAGCCAAAAAGAGGTGCAGTTATGATACAAGCTATGCCCCCCATATTAACGATGAAAAAGCACCTTCAAGTCCTAATTCCTGCCATTTTACAAGACATGGATGCTAACAGCTATAGGCCACAACCTCAAGTCTCAGGAAGGCTGGTCCCACTGGACAGTTATCCAAAAAAAGCTGGCTAGAAAAAAGAGGGACCAGGTACATCAAATAAAAGTATGCCCTAAGGATTAATTAAGCGTATATAACAGAAAATTGCCATGAAACGAAAAGAAAAAAATACATAAAATGCATCAGTTGTCCATCCCTGTTACCCTCACATTCCTCTCCCACCCCAGAATGGCTATGCTGGCAACTCTGAGAAAAGAACTTCAGATTATTTACTCGCACAATTTTCTGATCAAAAGAACCTGTAAAACCCAGAGGGAAATGTAGCTGAACAAATAAATGTTCCCTTTCTCAAACTGACAAAGTAAAAAACAAAATTTTTCAGGGGGAAACCTCAGGAGAGCAGCACAGCAATGGCTCTCAGTGATAAACTGTCAGTTATTACGCTAAGACCTGGCTCTCCATTGGGGGTCCAAGTTTTGGGACAGACACAAAGCATACTCTAGAGCAGCATTGGCAAGCCTTTTTGAGCTTTCAATAATAAACAGTCGGCAAAGACACACATGCCATAGGTCTGATACCACTGCTAGAGTGCTTGAAGTGGTATTGAAGATGTTAGGGCCTCAAAGGTCCACAGAGCAATCACTTTCCAGTGAACTAGAAGCTGTATCTCAAAGGGAATCCTACCCCAGCAAATGTGTTTTACCTGCCATCCACTGACACAACAAATGATTTTGGGCTTTAATTGGAAATTATTTGCCTCAGTAGTGGTCTGACAGTCTACATCAGTCATGGTGAACCTATGGCATGTGTGCAGCAGCAGACTGTTGTCACTGAAACGTCTAGAAGGTTTATAGTCACTGGTCTTGATTTTAGAGGGAGAGCTATAAAAGCGGTTTATTGGCTTTTATCTTTAAGGTCATATAAAATGACATGCCATGGTGTGCAATGGCAGTACCCACAAGTGCTTACATGCCAAAAACTTGGCATTTTCAAGTGTCAACAAGGCCAGGCCTCACTGTTCCACAGTTTAACCCACAGTTTGACCTCACAGAGCAAGGTCTCTGAAAATATGCTCATTAAAATTCATTCACTTACATGACAAATATCCATGTAAAGGGGTGAAACTATCACATGGAGTATGCACTGGGCGTGTACTTAGAGCTCATCCACAAGATTAAAACACAAAGAGACTGTAGGTGCACACCCAGGCAATGGGAAATACCCAATCTGGCAACTTCTCCATCAGAACATCCAGGTGGGAGGATCTGTTGTCTTCTCCAGAATGATAGTGGGCAGCAACGGCCACAGTGACCATTCCCCCTTCAGGCTGTTCTCCTGAGACCTGCTGAAGAAAACCAGTTCTCTAAAGCCAGAATACTGAAACTGAGGCTCTTGCCAAATATCAGGTAGCACACTGTTCAGTGAAACAGGAACTGCTGGGAAAAGCCTACCTGCACTTCTATCCAGAACTTCCATGCAGAGGCTTGGAGACCATGGGAATAAAATACAAAATAGTCTCCTCCTTTACATGTGACTGGGGTGCCATTACCAAGAGACCAATGAGAAAGTGTCGATCCTTTGTGGGCTCGAACATAGACTGACATATGGCTTGGTCCTGTAAGATGAGGAAGAACACTTATATCTTTGTTTAAAAAGCATCAATAAGAAAAGCAATTAACCAACAACCAAACTTTACCATGAAGGCTCATGCCTTGTATTACTTTAAATGTACTCAGTACAAACAGGTTTACCAGTTTGAACATTGTGTATCAAAAGGTTAGGTGGTGATGTACAGCAGAAAAGGTACAGAATCTAGACGAGAAAGTTGGTGTGTAAATGTTGGTGGTGTCAACTGCTACATGACACTAGGCATTCACATAATAAATTTGAGTCAGTTTTTCTGTCTATGAAGTAGATATTTTTGAGAGGATAAGAAAAAGCATATGAAAGTGTTGGGAAGACAGCAGAGTGCTATAAAAGTACTCAATAGGATGATTATGAAAAGAACTGCAATTTTCAGACTTGAAACATAACACCTTAAAATATTCTTTAGTTTCTTCCTTTAATGCAACAAAAATTTCCAGGAAACTTAACAAAGGCTGCCATACCAAAATAAAAAAGCTAAACATAAAACCACAGCTAACTTTAAGATGGAGAGCAGACAAATGTGAAGAAATAATAGTTTTCAGCCTGAGGCATGGATGTCACATGCTCATGCCTGACCTGTTCCTATGGCAAAGTTTTGTGACAAATGCCACAAGTCCACCCTAAATCTGTAATGCTGTAGCATGCTACAGAGTCCAGCTGGAAAGACTTAAGAGGATATTACAGTATATATTACTTGAACTATTTTTCTTTTGTTGTTTCTGGGTTTTTTGGTACTGGGGATTGAATTCACAACCTCATGCTTGCCAGGCAGACACATGGCCATTAAGCTAAACCCCTGGCCCTTGAACTATTTTTCAAATGCAAAGTTCCTAAAAAATAAAAATAAAAGGGGTGGCATCTTTTGACACTGATTGGTGAAGGTGAAATGAAGCAAAAATGGCAAGTTTGTCCTGCAAAACAAAAACACTGGGAAACAAAAGCCATCCACACCAACACAAAATTTAGAACTTAAAAGTATCTGTGGTACTGACAGAAGAGGGACACACTGGCTAAGAATCTTACTGATAGCAGAAAAATGAAAAGATCCATAGTTATTTTAAAAACATTGAAACAGTACCAACACATCTCCAAAAAATCATGCCAAGACAACTAGAATACACTTAAGCGGGGTGTAGTGGCACACACCTGTAATCCAGGGGCTGAGGCAGAATGAGCATTCTAAGTTTGAGACCAGCTTGAGATACAAAGTGAGCTCAAGGCCAGTCTGAACTGCATAGTGAGACTCAGAAAAACAGTCTCAGAAAAACAAATCAAATGCAATACAATACACTTTCAAAAATACTTGGAGATATGGGAAAAAAATGACAAAAACTAAGACTTCTAAGGAAGTATGTAAACTACAAGAAATTGAAATCAAGAAATGGAAAAAGCAGAGTAAATTACAAAGTTTCTGTTAACGATTTATTTCTAGATGTCCCCTAAAACCTCATACAGTCATGGGCTCTGGGAAGGTGACTGGATCATGATACTCATCAGAGGACTAATCTACCAATGAGTCTACAGTGATATGTGACATTAGGAGGTAGAGTCGGGTTGCCGGGGTGCCTGAAGGGTTCCATCTCCCTCCTCCCTTGATCTTTGTGCTTCCTGCTACCATGCTACCTTGCTGTAGAGTCAGCTAAGAACTGAAGCCACTATAAAGAGCTACAATAAACTCTTTGAGTTGTGGATGTCAGATACTGTAAGTGATGAGAAAGACAATATCCAAGGCAAAATAAAGTCAAATGACATCATGAAGGGCTAGAAAGATACTAAGAAAACAAAATCAAGTAAAAAGTCACTGCAAGGTAAAACTGCTAAATACGATGGTGCACGCCTCTCATAGCACTCAGGAGGCTGTGAGGCCAAGAGGATCACTGAGTTCAAGGCCAGCCTGAGCTCCATAGCAAAACCCTGTCTCAAAAGGACAAAAAATAAAGTTTAAAAAAGGTTAAAAGCATGAAAAGAAGTGTTTGAGGTAAGTGGAAGTAATTTTTGTTCTTTTTTGAGATAGCACCTCACTATCCAGTTCAGGCTGGGCTTAATCTCACTGTGTAGCTAAGGCTAGCCTTGAACTTGCAGTGATTCTACCTCAGCCTCCTAGGTTGCTGGAGTTACAGGCAAGTACCACCTCCCCTAGCTGGATGTGATTTTTGTAAAGACCCATCTGATATCCAGAAAGAGGAGTACTGAAAATAGAAAGCACTAAACATTTCTTAAAAAGCATTAAACATTAAGAGCCCTTTTTAAATACTAAAAGTCAGAATTCACAATGCACATACAAAAATGTGATATACACCTTAATCCCAGTACTGTACTCTTGAGAGGCTGAGGCAGGATAGCAAATTGGAGCCCAGCCTAGACAACTTTGGGAAAACGTCTCAAAAAGGACTGGAGATTTTAGAATTCATCCACTGGAACCAGAGAAGGGGGCACACTATAGGAGATGCAAGAAGATACAGTATATACTGACTGGATTAAGCATGCTGCAATGATCAAAAATACAGTGAATGTTTAACTTACTACAGTACAAGATATACTGTCAAAAATGATGAGGTAAGTGTGGGGAGTACTTGGGAATTAATGGCAATGTGTCTTTGACGTCAATATTTTTTTTAGTTTAAACACTTTTTTAAAAAATCACACCAGGTTGATCAACTTTATGACAATTTCTGTAAAACACTTTACACTGTCTCATCTACCTTTTTTACTGGATCTGGTACTGTGCAACTTCTAGCTCTTCCACAAATTCAAAATGACCATAAAAGGTAAATTGTTTTGAATCAATTCAGGACATCAAAAGTAGCCCTGAAAGCACAATTAATGACAAAAGAAGATTTCCAAAATTGCTTCAGAAAGTGGCATGAATGATAGGATAAGTGTATTTAAAACAAGGAAGGGTACTGAGAAGCGAGTGAATGGCAATATGTCTTTACTGTAATGAAGTTTTAAATACAGATGGTTTCCTTGCATTTTGATCACACCCATAAATCAAAAATATTGTAAATATAGGTGGTGTGCTCCTATAATCCCACACCCAGGAGGCTGTGGCAGGAGGATCACTGTGACTTCAAGTCTAGCCTGGATTACTTTGGGAGTTTAAGGCCAGTCTGAACTATATAATGAGACTCAGTCTTGAAAAAGAAGGAAAAAAAAAAAAACCCCACCTTGGATACATATAAAGCAGTTATAAAAGTAAAATTCATAGAAAGAGGTTTTTTTTTTTTTTTTTACAGTAAAACTAAAAATGACTTCTACAGCCAGGCATGGTGGTACACACCTATAATCCCAGCAACTGGGAGGCAAGAAGACTATAAATTCAAGGCCAGCCTAGACTGCCAATTGAGACCTTGGTCTCAAAAAAAAAAAAAAAAAAAAAAAAAAGAAGTGCAAAAGGAGGAGGAGTAAAATAACCAAAAGAAAACATAGGGACATACAAATGCTCATCAAAATGAAATAGAGACCAGAGCAAAAATGAATATAATTTTAAGTCAAGTGCCCAACTGTCTTAAATTAGTAAGACAAACACTGTCTAAGGTAAAGAGAAATCATTTTTATATCATATTCACAATATTTTCTGGCCTTTACACTAATAAATTTTAAAGCCTAGAAAAAACTAGTACTGTACTTTGCTAGGAAATTAGAAACTACCAAAACTGAACAAACATTTTGCTAGGAAAATACAGATTACCAAAACTGACACATAGGCTAACCTGACCAACTTTCCTACTAAAAGTTATTAAGATGTTCCTACTCAAGAATTCAAGCTATGGTAACCATTGTTGATCACCTTGTATTATGTTTTTATATTATCTATTATGTCCATCCTTTTGACTTGACCGATTCTGTTCTGTTATGTCTCATTTGGTTTTACTCTCTTCCAAAAAAGCAATAAGAACCGTGGGAGCAATGAAACCCAAAATGTGTAATAGTCATTGTACAAAAGAGTGGAAAAGAAAGTGCTCTAAACTATATAACTGCATGTATATTTAAGTGTATAAGATAGAAAATGGTATCACAGAGTTTTATTGGATCATTGAACAGAACTGTTTGCAGTATCATTGTTGGAATGTCCACTCTACAAGCTTTAATTTTGTGACTTGAACAATTATTTCTAAGATGGCAATATGTAATCCATTAACTAGTGATTTCCTACTGTTCATTTTTTTCTTCTGTAAATCTGTATAACTTGTACCCTTTCACTGTTTTTTTTTTCTTTTCTCCTTAATTAAAAAAAAAAAAAAAAAAGAATTCAAGCTAACCTTTTCAAACAAGTAATTCCAATACTCCATAAATTGTTTTAAGGTATGAAAAGTGAAGGGAAAGATAACTAATTTATTTTTATGATGTATAACATTGGCACCTAAACCTGATAAAAAGGACCAAGGGAAAAAAGTCATCGTTCATACGGGTGATGCAAAATTTCTAAGAAACATTAGCAAAGAAAGTCCAACATACATTAAAGAAACTGTAAGTCAGGAACTAGTAGGATATACTATCATAAGAGACACAAGGTCAAAAAATCCTATGATTTCATTCACAGAAGCTTAAAGACTCTTGCACAAAATTAAACATCCATTCCTGATTTTAAAAATTCAAAAAACTAAAAAAAATAAAAATAAAAAAATTCAAGAAACTTACAACTGAAGAACGCCTGCTAAAGACAATAAAAATAGGCACCTTAGTCCTAAAGGCAGTATCTTACAAGTAGGAAAGCACTACAGATCCCTGCCCTAATAGGAACAAAGCAAGGATGTCTACTATATCCATGACTTCTACACCATGTATAATTATTAGTAATTCAAATAATTAGAGTTATAAGAATTAGTATAAAGGAACTATATTTGTAGATGGTAACAGTAGTCAACTCCACCTGAGATTTATTCTTTACATAGCTCTCAGGTTAAGAATGGTTTTTTACATTTTTTTTAAAGAGTAACAAAAACAGAAAAGAACCTGTTATATAGATATATATGGCAAAACCTAAAATATTTACTATCTAGCCCTTTATAAAAGGTTTATAACCCCTGATATTCCTAGAGAACCCTGAAGTATAAGTTATTAAACTAGCTCAGAAAATGAAAGTCAGTAAGGTAATAGGATATAAAATAAATCAATTATCTTCAGATGTACAAAAAATAACTGATTAGGGGAATAATCATAGAGAAAGCCCCAGGCTATAAATAGCAACAAAATCTACATAAAGAAAACTACAGCACTCCTAAGACAAAAACAGATTTGAACAAAGGAAAGTCATTCCCAGTTTATACATAGGATAACTCACCATTTCTTGAATTTATTATGGTACTCAAAAAACACTAAGAAATAAGCTTTCGTGGGGGCAGGTTTGACTGACGGTTTATGGTACTAGGGATTAAACCCAGGGAGCAGTAAACATGAAGCGAGGGAAGAAAGGAGGAGAGAAAAATGCATCTGGCTTACCTGTTGCTTCAAAGGTCAACTTTGTAGAGTCCCAAGGTGTCTGTTCTTTCGATATAAGTCTGAAGCGAGCAGGATTTCTTGGAGAAACATCTGGAGCAGGAAGATACCAGTTTTTCCTATTTGGAAAGGTAGCTTCAATATTTAGGACCTTATTAGCTGGCAGCTATCCATTACATAGGGAAATGTTTAGAATACATGAACATCTCTTTGAATAACAAACTGACAGATATGATAAAGGAAACCAACTTCTTTTAATGCCTGGTTATTATATAATAAAACTTCGCTGAGCTTGGTGTCGCGCTCCTATAATCCCAGCACTTGAGAGGCTGAGGCAGGCAGATCACTGCAAGTACAAGACCAGCCTGGGCTACCAAGGGAGCCCAGTCTGAACTGCATAGTGAGACCCTGTCTTTAAAAAACAAAACAAAAAACCTCAACTTTGTAATACCCATAATACCTACATAATTGTAATACTTATAATACCTAGCTAACAAATATTCCCCGAAAGTATCCTCTCCTTAGAGGTGCAGTCTTTACATAAGTAGATTATGGGGGCACCACACCAAACTAGCTATTAGCAGGTAGGGTTTAGTCAGAAGAGAAAGGTAACTGGAGGTGTGGTCTTGAAGGGTGTAGCTCCCTCCTTGGCTCCTCTCCCATCTGCTTCCTGGCTGCCAGGACTATGCAGCTTTTCTCTGCAGTAGGCCCTTCCACTATGCCCTTCCTGGCTGATGCTAGCCAACTGTATGAACTGGATTCCCTAAAACCATGAGACAAAATATCCTTTCCTCCTTAAAATTGTGGCTATTAGGTATTTTGTCCTAGCAACAAGGAAAAGTGACTAAAACACTAGTGATCTTGATTTCCACTACACGTCCTCTCTCTCCTCACAGTCCTCCACTGCAAAACTATAAAAACTTCCCAAAGATAAAACCATTTGTGACTGATGTTTAACTGCTATTATATTCATAGAGAGTGTCACCCTTTCCAAGAGCTGAAGTTTCTAGAAGATTTTTTAAATTTGAAAAAGCAAAACTATCCTGAGTTAAATAAATACATTAAAGGAGTGTTCTGTAGTGATTAAAAAATAGTATAAATAGCACCTGACTTGAAAGTTAAGGATAACAGCTTAAATAATAGAATACTAATATACTGACAGGACTTGAGAACAAACTAAACCCCAACTTACATAGAAAAGTAATGAACCAACCTGATTAGAAAATGCACTGGAAGATACCATGGGAACCCACAAAGAGGTGCATTCTCCTCACAGTGCGCTCGAACAGTATCATTGATCTCAGGAATGTGAGGTGTTATGTGAGACAATCCAGTATAATCAAATCCATTGATCCATATTCCAGAGTCCCTTTTAACTATGTTTCCTTCTAAGTCATGAAACGTTCTAGTCATATGCTGAAAAGAACAAGACTAATGAGAAAACTGTTTCAGCTACTTTCTGCATTCCCAACCCAGGTTAATAAAGACTGAGTAAAATATAACCATACCAAGGAATGTAGTTATGGCACAATAAGAAAAGAATACTTAGGTTTAATAAAATATGGCTAGAGATTTATTTTAAACTGCATGACAGATATTTAAGTAACTGTCTTATTATGTCTGTCTGTCTGTCTATCTATCTATCTAGTGTTTGTTGTTTTGTTTTGTTTTGTTTTTTTTGGTACAAGGAATCAAACTCAGGACCTCAAGCTTGCCAGACAGGTGCTGTGCCATTGAGCTATATCCCTGGCCCCTGTCTTTTTCTATTTTAATTTTATATAAAAGTTTTGCCTGGGTACAGTGATGCACAGTAGCTATAGTCCCAGCTACTCAGGAGGATAAAGCAAGAAAATCACTTGAGCCCACAAGTTCAAGACCAGCCTGTGAAACGTAGCAAAAACACATCTCAAGAAGAAAGACGAAAAACAGGGAGCTGGGGATTTAGCTCATCGGCATAAACACGTGTCTTGAAAGTGTACCGTCATGAGTTCGATCCCCAGTACCAAAAAAAGGAAAAACAAAAAATTAAAACAAGACTTAAAAGATATGAATTTTCTACCTTTTAGAAAAGGATTTAAAACAAATACAGTACATTCTAAACACATTATACATTCAGTCATTTCCCTTCAGTGTGTAACATGAAGCCAATTCATATGCAGAGAAAAAACGAACTGCACCCCAACAGGAGATAACAAGTTTGTGCCTAATAGAATTCTGTGAAAAACCACCATGCTCCAAAGAAGTTTTATTAACCACTTAACAGCCTAATTATTTATGCAGGATGACCAAAAATCAATATTTTTCTGCACTTTTTATAACAAAAAATACAAAATGACCATTTACAAATTTGTTCAATACAAAAACCAATTGGTAAAAATGACAAGCAATGCCCAAGCAATGCTCAAGATAATCAGTGCGTAAATAAATGTGCTGCCCAAGTGATGCTCAAAATAAACTGTCAAATGGTTAAAGCAGGAAACTAGCCTGAAAAGAATCAAACAGGAAAAGGCAGGGGGGGCTGCATATGGCAAGGAGTGGTAAACTAGTTAGCAGTCAAATTACCCACTTACTGTATAAAATTTTACTGAAATACTGCCATACACATTGGCTGAGTTTTAACCTATAACTAATTTTGCTCTATAAAACAGGTTAACTGTAATAAAAGACTATATTGCTAACAAGGCCTAAAATATTTATTATCTTGCCTACAAAGGAAAATCTGTCAACTTCTGGCACAGAGCTGAAGCTCAAAACAAATGAGAACAGATTTTTTTAAAATAAAAATCTCGCTTTTCCTAAATCTTACTAGCATGATTATAAAAATTAGCATCTCACAGCTGGGCATGGTGGCTTACAACTGTAATCCCAGCACTCCGGAGGCTGAGGCAGGAGGATAGCTTCGTTTGAGACCAGCCAAGGCTACAAAGTAAGCTCAAGGCCAGCCTGAACTGCAAAGCAAGACCCTGTCTCAAAAAGACAAAAAAAAAGCATCCCAATAGAAACCACAATGAACCTTCTAAAACCTGTTCTTCACAAAGGTTATGCAAATTATAAGTTTGTCACATAAAGTATACCAGTCTTTCAAAACTAAAAGCAATACTTTTTTTGGCCCATTTCAAAATCTTAAGTATTTTTAATTTTTCCAGTCCTTCAAAAATTACCTAGGTTATGCTTTGACACTCTGTTTAACCATTCACAACCTTTAACATAGATGGCTGAAAATGAAGCTGAGGCTTTATACCAGATTTAAAAGAAAAGGCAACAGGAAGTTCTAGATCTCATTTTAATAATTCCTGTCCACGCTCAGTTATTTTCATCATCACATCATCATACTGTGTATTATTTAAGCTTTTATTTATTGTTATTTATTTACTGATGTATTTTTGTGTGTGTCTTTTTCTTTTTTATCGGTACCAGGGATCGAACTCACAATTGCCTGCTTGCAAGGCAGGTGCTTATGCCGCTGAGCTAAATCCCCAGCCCCAAATAAACAACTGATGTATTTATTTAGGTACTGAGAATTGAACCCAGGGTCTTTGTACTCAACTCCGTTCCTAGCCTTTTTTTTTTTTTTTTTGAGACTGCCAAAGTCAATTTATTACCTGTGTTGAACTGAAAACTGATAGTCAACTTAAACACCAGCTGAACTGTATCAGCATGGTGCTGAGCATGGATGGCCCATCTTAAGACTTCTGGCAGTATAAAAAGGAGACCTGGAAAGGAAGAGTAGTGCTGTGGGTTCTGCCAAGTAGTGGTGGTGTTTGCAACTGTTGATCCTCGTAGAGGAGCATGTCATGTTGGCTTCCCTGACATGAACTAGGCTGTTATCATCAGAGGAGCTCAGGATCTTGTCGCTGAGAATGGCTGTGGTCACTCTGGAGGAGCTCTGGTCTTCTTTGAGCATCACTTCATGGTTCCAGAAGGAAAAGATGTGTGTTGTTTGATCTCCAGGAAAACCTTGTTACACTGGCTTCCTGATATGAACTCGATTTTCTCACTGTCGGAGGAGCTCAGGACCTCGTTTTTGCTGGGGATGGCTATGGTACTTTGCAGGGGAGCCTTAGTTCTTATCTTAAGCATCGCTTCTTGGCTCCAGTGCAAAACCTTCAACCTATTAGTACAGATCCTACACCCTGCTGGCAAAGACTTTCTGGCTTCCACTACTGAACTGTGGGCCTTTCCAGTGCAGATCCATGAAAAGACTTGCATGATCATTGTCATAGTTGCTAGGCCTCTAGTTGGACTCCTAAGAAGCACTGTCATGGGCTCTAGGTTTTCCTCTGAATTCATGCAGTATATTGCTATGGGATCCAGGCCCTTGGCTGGATTCTCTAGGTCTTTAGTATGTGGACAAACTTCCTGTGCTTTCTTTATATTTGACTCCTTGGGTGACCATTAAAAATACTATAAATTATGTATCCTATATGTAATTGTTTTCCTTGCAATCCCTTGACTACCACATTGTACCAGCTAGGCTTGAACTTGTAATCCTGCCTCAGTCTCCCAGAGTACTGGGACTGTGGGCTTGCACCACAACAACCAGCTAAGCTCCATTTTAATAGCATTTTAAAATATCTTACTTTATTCTGTCAGTTCACTGTTAAGATCTTTACTCAGTCTGCAGACATTTATACAATCTATTTTTCTAAAAGCTCAGTATTCTCTGCTATGTATTTTTTTATTTTTCCAAAAAGTACAATTTTATAGTTTAGGCTGTGACATATTCGATTGTGCCTCTTAGGAGAAATATGTCTATCCAATAAGAATGCCACTCAATGGTCAGTCTTTTTCCTCACTGCTTTACGTATGAAAGAGTAGTGAACCAAGGAAAATTTCCCCTCCTAAATTTCAACTCCACAAAATTGCTCTTACCTGAAGAATCATTCTCTTTGGCTTTGGATTAGCAGGATTGGAGCTGTATGGGAAAAAGGTTCCACTGCAAACAAGGAGGAATGTAACTGTACATACCAAAGTTAGAGTTAGCATGGTTTTTTTTGTGCTTCTGGCAAGGTAGATGAAGTTCACCTAAAACACCAAAACAGAAAAATTATACATTTACTGGCAGAAAAGCATTTTTGCTTTTGTTTGCTTGTTTCAATCTGTCCTGGGGATTGAACTCAAGGGCACTCTATCACTGAGCTTTATCTCCAGCCCTTTATGCTTTTATTTTGAAACAGGGTCACATTGCATTATATAGCAGGAGTGGAAATGGTGATCCTCCTGCCTCAGCTTCAGTGAGTACTAGGATTACAGCCATGTGCTATTGTGCCCCATTCAGATAGATGGTTTTTCTGACTTTATTTTGTAACAAGTATTATCCAACAAACAATGAAGAAAGTTGATCAGCATGTGAAAATAAAGCACTAATTCTAGAGGATTTCCATCACAAGTCAAAGCCTAGAAAATGACAGATTATTCCAATTGGCCAGGCTGGTACCTTCTGACAGACAGCCAGAAAGCAACAGGGAATAAAAGAAACTGAGCACTGTGTTTTTGTGATCAATCAACAAAGAGAACAGAGAATATAATAAACACACCACCAGCCAAGTCATTACCTTATTTTATTTAACTTTATCAATGTTCTTCAATAATGAAAACTTTACAGCAGGTACCACTGGACTGCACCAAAAATTAGGGTTCTAAGGGTTTCATTAAATTACCAAACAGACTAGGCATTGCAGCACACACCAGTAATCCTAACACACTAAGAGGCTAAGGCAGAACAATTACCAAATTCAAGTCTATCCTAGGAAACTTAAGTGAGACATAAACTTGATCATAAATGTTTGTAATCCCAGCCCTTTGGCAAACTGGGGCAGGAGGATAGAAAGTTCAAGTTCCAACAGGGCAACTTAACAAGACCTTGTCTAAACAGGGATATAGTTCAGTACAGAGAACCTGGGTTCAATCCCCAGTACCAAAAATAATAATAAAATTTTAAAAGGGAATGGAGGATGTAGCTCAATGCCAAGACTATGGCTTCAATCCTCAGTACACCACAATATAAAAAATAAAAAATAAAACTACCAAATACAACCTTTTTATACTTAAGCAGACCTGTTTCAATAAAACTCAAATTCCCCTCATAATGTTGCTATACTGTGCCTAAAATCTGGATTCATATAAACTAGCAGTTAGATATGTCTTTCAAGACTGCCTGTGGACTTGTACTTTACAAAAAACTATTGCAAAGTAATACTGTCCCATTAGATGGTAAGTCAAAAGTGTCAACAGAATTAAAACAGTCTCAAGACTGACTTCCACAAAACACTAAATATTACTAAACCTTTTATCTGTAACCAGATCACTGAATTAAGAACTAAAGAGGCCTCACATAAGACTCAACAGACACATTTACAGTTTCCTTTAGGGTCTGAAATGATGTGAAATAAAGCCATTCTGACAGACAATGATCTAAAACTTTGGCCTTCTTTATCTAATTAATAGCCTCACCACCTAGGTTTAGTAGGGAGAAAACAACATGAATGCAAGAATATTTTTATCATTTGAAGAAAATGGAAGATTAAGCAAATATTCATAGTCTACTGTACTATACAAAGTAAAAGAATTCTCCTCAGCTGGAATTACTGGAATGTGCCACCATGCCAAGCTAAACCTCTTCCTTCCTATTTCACTCCTATAGCAGTCAGTCCATTTCAGCACTGTCAAATGAATATAATCATGACAGCCCACCAAAAGTAACCCAGAAAGCATGTTAAACTGGTAACCTGACAGAAATTTAACCGCTTTCTAGAAAATGTATTTACTATATCCCCAAGGACTGAAAGCAAAGCTGAGTAAGCACTGTAGTTCTAATTCTCTATTACCTAAGGAAGACACTTTCACTGTTAATTAAGCCACTATCTTTAACATTACTACACATAAATAAGAAAATGAAGAGAATGGTAACCAAAAGTATCAAAAAGAGATCCATTTCACATAATAAAAATTAAACAAGGTTTTTAAAATATTTCAAGAGATACTTTTGAAAATTTTCCCAATGAAATAATTTTCTAATGAATTAATATATTTTAATTTTCTGGTTTCAAAGTTGTCCATTCTTTAGAAAACATTTTCGGTGTCCACTGTGAAAGTTTTCAGGAGAAACTTCACTTTCTTTTCCTTTTTTTTGTACAAAGATCGAACTCACAACCTTGCGCTCATCAGGCAGATGCTTATGCAGCTGAGTTAAATCCCCACCCCCTCACTTCTTCAATGAAGCAGAATTTAAATGTCCCACACTTGCGCCAGGGATTTAGCTCAATGGAGTAAGCACTTACCTGGTGAGCATGAGGTTATGAGTTCACTGGTACCAAAATAAAACAAATAAAATAAAATAAAACAAAAAATAAATAAATGTCCCATACCTAAGTCATCTTTTATAGGCACCAATAATTTCCAATAAATACCCTGAAGGGGGTCCAATTTCTAACTTAGTCAACATTAGACAAGAATTCCATCTATCTTCACTATCTCCTTTAATCTTAACAGCAAACCTATCTTAAAATACAGAGGATCTAAGAGTTAATAATAAAACCAGAAGAAGTAAACCATATGGCAAAGAACACTTAGAACTTTCAATTAATCCTTATAAATACCAATAAGGAACTAATCACTATCTTAAAGGTGAAATGGCTGGAATACTAAGGTTTCTTTTAGGACTGCAGCTACCTCAAATAATCATGTGCATAAGAATTATTCTACATGGGTGTATTTGCAAAGCCACATACATGAAGCTTTACTGGCCATGGAACGGGTTTTGGTGGATTGTGTTGACCATGGTTGTGGAATTCCATTACCTCCTTCAGTCTTCAGAACCTAACTATCACAAAGATGCCCTTAAATATACAGTATAAAGAAGCTCACTATCATGTATCTCCATGAAGAAATGAGCTGCAGTAAAATCTTAATTACTTTTTCTATTTGGTCCTTTAGCCTTAAAGATCAAGAAGTGGGTATTCAGTAGCACTCCTTATCTTAGAATTCCAATTAAAAGAGACATAAAACAGAAACCTGCCTTGTCTAGAGAAGCTCGCACTGAGACTTGAAGGAATGGACAACATACCAAGAGTAGAACCCTGACTGGGGGTTCCAGTTTTAACTCAGTGTCACTATCTTTTCTGCCACCTAGAGTTTCCCAAGGGGAGAGCAAAGACAGCAAAGTTTTTCCAAAACTGACACAGCAAATTGAACACTGACAAGGACAGTGATATACTTTATTACTTGGTAAATGAAGGCATGTTTGGGTGTCATAATTGTGTGTCACTCAAAGAGACAGACGCAATTAATGAATTTATAATGAATTTTAAGAAGCCTCATCAAAATTAGTTTTCCCTCCCATAGCTCTAATGATACTAACAAAATTACTATGTATTTATTAACATTGCCTCTAACAAACATACTCAGAAACTGTGCTAACGAACTGTTCTAAAGGGAATCTCCAACAATTCTCAGTTGGTATGCATTCTAAAAATTCACATTCAGACAGTTTAAAAGACCATTTGAAAAGGGGTCTAATGAGCGGATCTGGAAAGATGAAGAGGCAAAAATTAAAACCACAGCAACAAGAACAAAGAAAAACTATCCGGACCATATATAATGAGCCCACAAGATACACAACCATTCACCATTTTTTTTTTTTTTTGCGTAAGACTTTCAAAATATAAAACCTGCTAAATTCATCATATATTCATATTTTTAAAAAACAAAATGTTTTCTTACAAAATAGGAAGACAGCATCATTGTACAAACAGCCAAAATGGATGCCAGCACAATATCAGGTGGAATTTCTGAACCACTTCTCCCAAGGATAGGAGTAAACATCTCAAATACTGCCCAGATGAGGTACATTCCATAAATATAAGGAATAAACATCCCCAAAAGGTAAAAGACAACAAACTTTCCTTGGGCACCTAGAAGAAAGAGAAAGAAAAGGCAACTATGAAATGCCACCATGAATTACAGATTTTTATCGTCTTGGCATCTAACAGAGATTAGTTTAGATGTGATACTTGCCCTTTGATACATGTGTATCCAGTGAAATAACAAAATTCTAGGCCAGGGACATAGCTCAGCAGCACAGCGCCCGCCTGGCAAGTACAAGGTCATGAGTTTGATTCCCAGTACCAAAAAAAAACCACTTTAATGAAATTTCATTGGGAAAGGATAAAATACAAGGAAAATTAAAATATATCAGTAATATATTAGTATGTGTTCAAAAACATGAGAAAGAGATGGGCTACATGGTAAGATAAAAATGTATATGGTATGAAAAAGTACATGGTATAAAAATTTAAGGGTTGGACATAATGGCACAGTCCTATAATACCAGTTATAGAAGGCCAAGTTGGAAGGATCGCAAGTTCAAGGCCAGCCTGGGAAACATGGTGAGACCCTATTATCTCAAAACAAACAAACAAAACAAAACAAAAAACACCCAGGTGGCTGAGGCAGGAGACTTGCCATGAGTGTGAGGCCACCGTGGGCTCCATAGTGAGTTTAAGGCCAGTATAACCTACACAGCAAGACACTGTCTCAAAAAAACAACAAAAATTATAACTATTATTATTATTTGGAAAGGCTACTCAATAAAACAAAGTTGCTGAAAGTCTTATATATTTTAAAGTATTTTTCATCTGTATCAAAACTAATTTCCCTACCATGCCGCTTAAACTCCTTATGAATGGAGAACTTTGTGAGCAAAGGAAATGCTACCCAGATAGCACTAATGAACGCTGAGCAAAGTCCGTGGTAAGTGAACATGACAAGAAAACTACAATGCACAAACAGTGAGACGTCAAAAAACACTTCTCCCAGATACTGGTCACTGGCATTCTGAAAGAAAGAAAAATAAACAGTCTCATTTACAGGTCATTGATAAACAAGCCACATTCTGTTTAGCAGAGTCTATGCTTTGAACAGACAAAGTAAACACAAACTTCAGTCCTACAGAGTAAATTCAAAACTACTGCACAGGAAGGGTAATTTCAAAAGATGTAAGGAAAGCTATATCTAATCTATGCTTTTCTCTCACAGGGCTAAAAGTAATCCTTGGAAATATTCTTAAACAAAAGGAGTCCTCCTAAACACATCAATTTCTGCAAGCTTTTCCTGTTTATTTTCAAAGACTGAGGAGCAAACCAGAAGAATAGGGAAGGATAGGGTGTGAAGGAACAAACACTGCAAGTCCACATGGCGCACCTCATGGCTATGATGGGCACAGTGTGAGTTTCTGGAGTCCTTCCTATCCCCAACTGGTCACCTTTGCCCTCCCCTCTTGTATTCCTAGTGCTTTCATATAAAATCTGAGCTACACTTTTTTTTTTTTTTTTTTGTCTTTTTCCTTTTTATCGGTACCAGGGATCGAACTCACGACTGCCTGCTTTCAAGGCAGGCGCTTATGCCACTGAGCTAAATCCCCAGCCCCCTGAGCTACACTTTTTAAGACTTGAAGTCAGAGGGCTCATGGACAGCAATCTTCAGGGAAAAAGCTGTCTTATAAACATAATACATTTTAGTATCTGTAGGAGGCAGTTTATCAATGCAAATGTGAAAGTTGTAACTACAGTGCATAAATATCAAAATGTAAATAGATGTCTTTAAAGCTTTCTTTTCTTCTGCCTTATTTCTATTTATCCCAAGGGGCTTTATTTCAAGAGCTCAAAGTTTCTGTTACAAGTTTTCAGAACAAGTTAAAGTTCATATATGACAAGTTCCATACACACTAAAAGACAGGCTGCAGTTAATCAAGAGGCTTGGTCTTCAGCCAGGCATGGTGGTGCACACCTGTAATCTCAGCACTATGGAGGCTGAGACAGAAGGATCACCACAAGTTAAAGGTCCGCCTGGGTTATACAGTAACTACAAGGCCAGCCTGTAGGGGTTGGGGGGAGTTCTTGTCTCAAAAACAAAACAAAAAAACAAGCCCAGCTTGGGCAGTTTAGTGATTTAGTGAGACACTGTCTCAAAAACGGATAAGGGCTAGGAATGTAGCTCAGTGGGGACACCCTAGGATGAATCCCAGGCATGGTACCATGCCTTCTAACTGCTGGGGGGAGAAAAAAGGAAAGAAAATGTTCTACAGCAAGTACTCAAACTGCACCAAAGATAAACACCTCTCAAATCTATTTTCATCCTTGCCTCCATTTAGCCCTCACATTCCTGCACTATTCCAAACCACTCTATTCAGTGTTACAAATTTTCCTACTAAATCACAAAATCTCTATCCTGCTTTAAAAAAAAAAAAAAAAAAAGGTGGTCCCACTGACATTTAGGGTCATGCTCCCAGCCTGCTTTCTGGTTACTGCACTATCCATACTTTCTCTTTACCCCCATGGAGCTTTTACTGATTGTCACCCAAATACACCTTGTATATCTCCATCTTGACTGTTTATCAACCCATTCTATCTAATAAATTTCTATTACTGCTTCAAAAACCCTATTCAAATGTCATCATCTCTTTCAATAAGCCTTCTTGACTTCCACAAGCAAAATTCATCTCTGCGGTGCCTGTATTCCTAAAGCACTGCCTACGTATCTTTCTATTTCGCTTTACTCCACAATGTACTACAATCAACATGGCTTGCATCTCTTCCCAAATGAAACTGTTCACTTCTCAAAGAGATCACATTCTTATTAATGTATCACATAGTTTCCTCATGGTACCATGCCTATTAACTGTTTAAAGAATGTATCTGAACTGAAAATGAAACACATTACTGTTTCCACTGTGTTTGCAGCCCAGTGTTACAACCAGATCACTGAAATTATTGGAAGTTGAACTTCACTAGGCATTTTTATCCCACACCTGGCCCAATCAAAAATATTCAATCACACTCCAGTTATAACGGCTACACTGAGAATACACATGAGGAACTAAGCCCAATAGCTACCCTCAAAAAAACCTTTCTTCAATAGGGCTGCTAACACAGAAACGTTCCTTATACCATCTCACCTCATTAACTGAAACTGAGACCAGAGACATCCTAGTAGAAAAATGCTGGATTACTTCTTCCATTTCCCTAATCTTCTCCCTACCAGTACAAACTGAAAAGCAGACTGGCTATCTTAAAAATAAGGGAGCTTACCCCTTGATTCCCTAGAAAACAAGAAAGTGTGACTCTTAGTATATTTCATGTTTAGTTGTTGTTTCATAACCTTAATTCTTTATATTTTTACCAAATTTATACCACTGAAACTGTAACAATGTGACAGCATTCTCTAACATTCAGTATAAATCACTTAGAACCATTTTTCTTCCTGCCTTTTCCCCTAGCATGTGTCCTTAACGACATATATGCTATCAAAATCTGTATCAACAAACATACAGGTAAAAGAAAAAAAATGAGAGAAAAAGTGCAAGATTCCTTTCAGCAACAAGTATTTGCTGTGTGTTAATGGCCCATTTGACTTTTTTCCCTAAAAGCAGGAAAAAAAAAAAAAAAAGCCTATTACTTACCACGTAATAAAATCTTTTTGCAAGAGTATGTATGAGTATTATTTTGGCTGCAGCTGCAGTTCCATACAGACAAATGGAGACATAGAAGTGGTTGTACCATGACAGAGACTGTCCAATAAGAGAGACGAACACTGCTATGATGAGAACCATAACGAGGCTAGTAAACCAGCTAATGAAAGTTATGCCAATTCCACACAAGAAGTCCTTTGTGTAGTTAACAGCTAATGAAGAGAAAACAAAAAGTCACAAGTCATTATATTCATCAAACCCATTATAAAACAGTAGAGTTAAAGGGGGAAATGCTGAAAAATTCACCACTGTAATTGAAAAGTACTGGAATGGGGGCTGGGAATTTAGCTCAGCGGCATAAGCACCTGCCTTGCAAGCAGGCCGTCGTGAGTTCGATCCCCGGTACTGGTAAAAAAAATAAAAGAAAAAAAAAAAGAAAAGTACTGGAATGTCCTAGTTGAACACAGGGAAAACACCAAAGATAATATTCAAGGAACACTTACCGAGCAAGTGGATAGTTTTAATCTCCATCAACTTTGGAATACTTAATGTATGAAAATATTAGCAAGGATGGAAGGCAAAGTTTCATGTAAAATTTGGCTAACAGAAGCTAACGTAGGAAAATACAGACTTGGAAAAAATAAGTGATAGTCATTTAAATTAGTGCTGAATATTTCATTTTGTAATAGCACATGACAAATTGAATCTAAAACATGTCAAGCCAAAATATTTCAATCAGAAGGGACCAATTTAACCAAAAGCAGTTCATTCACACTTCAAAACAGTGCGGTACTGCTCTATAAAAAAAAAGGTTTTTGCTGTTGAGATAGGGTCTCACTATGTAGCACAGACTAGCCTAGAACTACAGTCTTGACTGTCCCTGAATTCACAGAAATCCTCCTGCCTCAGCCTCCTGCGTGCTGAGATTACAGGCATGTGCCACCATGCCCAACAGGAAAGACTATCCATTAGGACTTTTCATGAAAAGTCAATCTAAACAAACTGTCTTTTATTGTTTCCTATTTGCTATTTCTATGAGGTTCACTAAAATTTTCTGCTTACAAAGCATAAAAATATGAGTATATCAACATACTATTTATTTAAGAACTTTTTATAATATTATATCAAGCACAATTTTAAGATTTTTAACTACCTGGGACAATATAGGCACACTGACTAAAAAAAAAACTTCAAGGAAATCCTGTACCATGCCAGTAGTTACAACTTTAGAGGAAAATACTTACTCTTATGTTTGAACTGCAACAGTTTCTTGCCCAGGTACAAAACAACAGCCATCACCACCATACAGTTTATTATTGAGCCAATACGATACGGGTAAGCAATGACAAACAAGCCAAGCACATCAAAGAAGACCATTTTCCCATGTCGATACTCAGAAGAAAAAGCCAGCATATCAGATGTAGCTAAGTATTTTAAAACTGCTAAAATGTTGTCACCTGTTGGTAAAGAAAGATAACAAAGCTAAGTAAGTTATTTGAAGGTAATTTACATGTACAACTATACAAAGCAAAAATAAACCATCTATTATCTGAATAAACAAACAGTTGGGGGCTGGGGATTTAGCTCAGCAGGCGTAAGTGCTTGCCTTGTAAGGTCACAGTCGTGAGTTCAATCCCCATACCAAAAAAAAAAAAAAAAAAAAACCCAGCTGGAAAGGATATGAATAAGCAAAGTTTCCTACCCTCCTGCTTCCCTCTATTTCTGAAGATACGATTTCATTCTAGGCCAGCAACTACTCAAAATCAGCCTCCTACAAACACATTCTTCTCATGTTGTATTCTAACTTGGAATACATCCTCTTTCCTCCACAGGCCAAAGCCTGACTTTTCTGGAACTCTCTGGAAAGCACTCTTAACTCCCTGTCCTATGAGTTCTCACCCGCTCCCATGCTACCTCACCATGGATTCACGTAACTGTTTTCCACACCAAGGAAACTGCCCACAATTGTGTCCCACTCCTACCTCCAATTTACAGTGTTGGCTGTACTCTTACTGTTCAGTAATCTTACCATAAACCTAGGAACTCCCTTTCCAAATCCTCACAATAAATACATGCATGTTTTGAACTGTTAAAGCTAGAAAGAACTAAAATGTAAGCCTTCATCTCTCAAACTCCAAATCCCTAACTCATTCCATCACAAAGCACTTTTCTAATGCACTGGCTGCAGAGTATTTATACATTTTTAGGTCGTATCTATTATTTTGTTTTACAATATAAAATTCAAACTTGAAATACCAACCTGCTCTCTGAATGGAGTCTGTTAGAATTCTGTCTGCTGTGTCATACTTGGTGTGATAAATGTAACCATTCTCAATAAAAGCTAAGTCTATTCCTAAAACACAGGAAAAATAAGTCAGTTTGCTTTGAAGACCAACCTTGCTGTAGGACAGCTCAGTGGTAACTCAGTTCATGAGCTTGATTCTTTCCATGATTCTGGTTGCAAACCAAGCTATATGAGAAATAAAGCAAATTCAATGGTTTGGTTCAATGTTAACCTTAGGGGGAAATTTGATTCAATTCTCATTCAGTTGGATTTATGACTAAAACTATAGAAAGAATTGAGTTTGTGAACCAAGGTACTACTGTATTACATTCCGAAAAAAGATAAAATGTCAAAGAAGTAGTGACTCCTTTGTCATATTTAAGAATGAATGACAAATTCTCCTTCATATTCTTAGAAAATCTATAGTTATGGTACATAATTCAATACGTAAGACATCACACATCAAACAAATGAGTTTGTGTGTCATTGAAACTTTGCTATCTGGGGCAATGGGCTGTAGCCTAGTGATAGAACCTTTGCCTAGCATACACAAGGTCCTGGGTTCTATTCCCAGTGACACAAAAAGAAAAAACCTTGACCAGCTGTCTGTTTGTCAAGCCAAAGCCAAATTTTAGCTTCACCTAAGCCTATGACACACATGTCATTGTATTTTTAAGACAAAAGATGTTAATGATAGTTTTTTCCAAACTAAAACTCCAGTATTTGGGTATAATTGCAATGTGGGCACATTGCAATGTTAAGTGGGTTTTGCGCTGGAGTTTGGCACTTGTTCTATAAAACACTGGCCATCGCTGACCTACGCTGAACACATCACCAGAGGGGTTGGCAAGCAAAACAACTGGGCAAGTCAAAGATCCCAAGCAGATCCTGTTATCACTTTGGGAATAAAGTATTACACTGTTGTTCTCTCTTCTATCACATTATAGGACAAGAAGATACAGAGGCAAAATTTTATATTAGCAAAAATTTATATTGGCATAGAGTTTAAAAAAGGAAAGTACTAAGAAATCAAGAGTGCTAGAAAGTGCTCTCATATAAAGAATGTGTTCTCAGAAAATGCTGTTTACTCAAAAACTTTCCAGCAGTGAAGGCCACTTCTAATGAATCAATATTGTATAATAGCCTACAACTACTGGTAAAGTACCTGGAATGTTACCAAAATCTCTGTAGATACGAAAGTCGGTTTCTGAAGGAATAATTCCACTCTGAAAAACCTCCTGAGCCACCACAGAGGCAAAAGGATGTCTAGCTGCTGACACATAAGCTTGAATCAACCAAGGATTTTCAGGACCTGAAATGAAACATGACAACACAAAACAAGGTTAACCTAATAATTTTTTAACATACCCTACTATTTTTTCTACCTTTTTGGTGGTTGTGCTGGAACTCAGGGCACAGCATATAAAGTTACATCCAATGCCCAGCACTAATTTTTTTTTAATGTTCCAGAAGTACCGATAATGGTGGGTTTTGGAGATGTAGTCAAAATTAATTTCTTAATCTTTTTCTTATTTTTCAACACTTTTTTCATACATGTGTATAACTTAAATGAAAAATAACATTATAAAATTAAATAACAGCAACTACAAAAAACTTGAATCTAAGAACAAAACAAAAATTTTCTAAGTCTATCATCCTAAGATACTCACTATCACTTTCCTGTCTTCAATTTTCTTATAATGTACTACCACATGTACAAAGCTACAGTCAAAACTCTCAAATTCATTCCTGGAAGCAAGCATTACCCTAATACAAACACCAGAAAAAGACCCAATTAAAAAAGAGAATTACAGGTCAATTTCCCTAATGAACATAGATGCAAAACTCCTCAATAAGATACTGGCAAATAGAATACAGCACATCATCAAGAAGATTATACACAATGATTAACTGGGATTCATCCCAGCGATTCAGGGATGGTTTAACATACATAAATCAATAAATGTAATATACCATATTAACATAGCCAAGGACAAAAATCATATGATCGTCTCAACAGATGCAGAGAAAGCTTTTTTTTTTTTTTTGGAGGGTGGTAAAACACAACAGAAGAAGACAGAACAAAGCCAATCGAGACAGTGCAGTGAAATTGGTACAGAACTTCACAGCAGGTTATCGGGAACAGTAATGAGTGCCATAGTACATCTTGTTATCTTCACAGTAGTTGTCCATTCAATCAGGTATCAGAAAAAGCTTTTGACAAAGTCCAGCACCCATTTGTGATAAAAACCCTACAAAAATATTGGAATACATGGTCTTTATCTCAATTTGATAAGAGTCATCTATGACAAATCAACAGCCAACCTCATGTTAAATGGACAAAAACTAAAAATTTTCTCTCTAAAATCAGGAACAAGACAAGCGCGTCCACTGTCTCCACTCTCATGTAACTTTAGCTGGAAACTTTAGCTGCAGCAGTTAGACAAGAGAAAGAAATAAGAGGAATAAAACAGGGAAGGGAAGAAGTTAAAACTATCATTATATGCACATGATAAGATACTCTACATAGACAACCCAAAAAACTACACTAAAGAACTGATAGACTTAAAAGTAAATTCAGTAGTATAGCTGGATACAAAGTCAACACTCAAAAATCAAAGACTTGTCTTACATGAATAACAAAATCAGAGAAACTACCTTTTATGATTGCATCCAAAAAACTGAAATACCTAGGAATTGTTCTAACAAAGGACATAAAGTTCCTCATTAAAAACTACAATACTCTGAAAAAGGAGATTGAAGAGGATAACAGAAATGGAGAGACATTCCATGCTCTTGAGTAGGAAGAATCAATATAGTGAAAAAGGCCATACTTCCAAAACTGTCACACAGGTTTAATGCAATCCCAATCAAAATTTCAATAGCATATTTCACAGAATTAGAGAAAACAATCCTAAAATTCATCTAGAACCACAAGAAACCTAGAATAGCAAAGCAAATCTTGGGCAACAAAGGCAAGGCAGGGGGCATCACAATCCCTGACTTGAAATTTACTATAAAGCTACTGTGATAAAAACAGCATGGTACTGGCAAAAGAAAAAAGACCCAAAGATCAGTGGAACAGATTACAAGATGCAGAAACAACTCCAGACATACTAAGCCACCTTTCCTTGACAAAGGTGCCAAACACATTCACTGGAAGAAAGATAGCTCTTTAATAAATGATGCTGGAAAAACTGGCCCTGCACATACCAAAGACTGAAGTTGGACCCATTATCTTTCACCATGCACTAAACTAAATTAGGAATGAATCAAAGATCTAAATATTAAAAGAGAAACATTAAATCTGCTGAAAGAGTATGTAAAACTCTTGAAGACATTGGTGTAGGCAAAGACTTTATGAATAAACCCCAACTGCACAGAAACTATCACAAAGAATTAACAACTGGGATCTCATCCTATTAAAAAGCTTTTGCACAGCAAGAGAAACTATCAACAGAATAAAAAAATAACACAAAGAATCACTATCAAGAACATATAAAGAACTAAAAAAAAAAAACCAATCAGACCTCCCAAATGTAAAGACCTTAATCCAAAATCGGGCATCTGAGATGAGATTCTATCTCACCTGAGAAAGAGGGATCACTATCAAGAAGTCAACAAATAACAAATGTTGGAAGGGCTGTGGGGGAAAAGAACACTTCTCGACTGCTGGTGGAAGCGTAAAGTGGTGTAAACACTGTGGAAATCACTGTGGAGATTCTTCAAAAACTTAGCACAGATGTTCCATTTGACCTAATCTTTACTCTCCTGGGTATCGTTCCAAAAAAAGCATTATACCACAGTGATATATGCACACCTATGTTTTTAGTACCACAGTTTGGAAACAATCCAGAGGCCAATCAACTGGTGAATGGATAAAGATGTGATTTTTTTTTAATACAATGGAGTACTACTCTGCCAAAAAGGATATACTCCAGACATTTCTAGGAAAATGAATACACCTTGAGGCCATACTCTAAAGTGAAATAAACTGAACACACATGTGTAAATACCACATTGTTTCTCTGGTGTAAGAAACCAAAATTGTAAATAAAGACCAAAATGTATAGAAGGTATTGTGAAAAAGGGAGAAAATGTTCAAATGAAGAGGGAAACAGGAGAGGTGAAGGCAAGGAGAAGGGAAAAGTAGAAGAATTAGAAAAAAAGAAAAACATGGAAACAGACCTTTGGTTAAGGGGAAAGGGAGGAAGTGTTGAATGGAGGGTAGGAGGATGGGGAAAAACATTTATACTGTGTCAGGTACATATCCTCTCTGATGAATGTGATCATAATGTATACCTAAAATCTACCTATAAAGTTGGATTAAAAATAAAGTATGATCAAAACCATATTAAACCTTGCAGCACTGATGCATATCTGTAATCCCAGCAATTCAGAAGGCCGAGGCAGGAGGATTCCAAGTTCCAGGCCAGCCTGGGCAACTTAGCAAGGCCTGTTTCAAAATAAAAATAGGGCTGGGGATGTCGCTCAGTAGTTCAATCTCTAGTATCTCAAAAACATACATAAAACCATGCTAAGGTCAGGCATGATAGCATACATATAATTTGAGCTATTCAAGAAGCTAAGACAGGAATATTGCAAGTACAAGGCTAGCCTGGGGAACTTAATGTGATTCTGCCTCAAAATAAAAATAAAGACAGTATGGTGATGCACACTTATAATCCCAGCACTGGGAAGGCTGAGGCAGAACAATCATTGTGAGCTTTAGGCCACTTAGGCTACAAGGTGAGTTCAACGCCAACCTGAACTGCACAGCAAAACCTCATCTCAAGGGCTGGGGATTTAGCTCAGCGGCATAAGCGCCTGCCTTGCAAGCAGGCAGTCGTGAGTTCGATCCCCGGTACCGATAAAAAGGAAAAAGACAAAAAAAAAAAAAAAAAAAAAAAAAAACCTCATCTCAAAAAGAGAGAGAGAGAAAAAAAAAAAAAAAAAAAAAAACCCACAAAAAAATACAAAAAAACAAGGGCACAGGTATAGATCACTGGTAGGGTCCCCTACGGGATCAATCCCCAATACCAAAATAATAATAATAATAATAACAACAACAACAATAAAAGCTAAAAGATAAATTTAAAAAGCAATCACCACAAAAAGTATTCTTGGATGGGCAAAGGACAGAGCACTAGCTTAGCATATAGCAGGCCATAGGTTTGATGCTTAGCACAGCAAAATAACAAAGAAAGGCAGGAATTGTATTTGAGAAGGCAAACAAAAAATTTCTCTGAGTTCTGGAAAAGTTCGGTAAAAAGTCTATACTCTTTCATGAAGTAGGGTTAAAAGGTATACATTTTAGGACAACAGTTTTTAGTTTTTGGTTTTTCAGGGTGTTTTTGATTTGTGTTACTAGGGACTGAGCTCTGAGGTATATATACGCCCAGCTCTGCTTTTTATTTTGAGACAGCAACTAAATTACTAAACTGCCCAAGGTGGGATCCAACTTGGCCATCTTCCTGCCTCAGTCTTCTAGAGTCCTGGGATTACACATCTACTACCATGCCCAACTAAGTTTTACACTTGGTGTGGAAAACTGACTCCCCACATTCCAAAGGATAAACCAAGATCTAGATCTCTTACCACGCACTACATTAAATTCAAATGGGTCAAAGATCTAAACATTAGAACAGAAACATTTAATTTGCTGAAAGACAAAATACATAAGTCTTAAAGACAGAGGTGTAGACAAAGACTTTCAGAACAAAATTTCAGCTGCACAAGAAGTAACACCAAGAATCAACTGATAGGATCTTAGCAAATTAAAAAGCTTTTCTGGAGCAAAGAAACCAACTGAGTGAAAAAACAATGCTCAGAATGAGAAACAATCCCGGCCAGCTACTCCTCAAAGGACTAATATCTAGCATATATGAAGAACTCAAGAAAATTAAACCCCACCCCCAAACTTAAAGATCCAGTTTAAAAATGGAAACTGAAATGAATCACATTTCTCACACAAATAATTACAAACATCCAATAAATAGATAAAAAATGTTCAACATCACTGGTCATTCAAGAAATTGAGATTCCACCTCACTCTAGAAAGAATGGCTACCATCAACAAATCAACTAATAACAAAGGCTGGCAAGATTAGGAAACCCATCCTCCATTACTGGTGCAACGCAACCACTATGGAAAAAGAAAAAAGGATGACAGAGTGGTGAAGAGCAAAGAAACATCTGACAGTGGAATATAGCAACCTAAGGAGAAGGAGGGCAGTGGGTCCCTGGGACCCAGCAAGGATCTGAAACAAGAATTGAAGCCCACAGGAGAGCACAGAGACAGACTTCATCACA